GTCTTAAATAATCTAGAAAATATAAATAATTAAATAGGATTAAGTATTACAATTTTAATGGATTATAATTATTGAAACAAGTAAAAACAAGTTCACTTCCAGATGGCAAGGAAATAAACAACAGTGAGTGTTGGATAGATTGCATTATATACAACTAGCTGTACCCGCCATGTGTTGCTGTGACCAACCCTCCCTCCCTCTTTCTCTCCTTCTTTCCTTCCCTCCCTCCTTCCTTCCTTCCTTTTTCTTCTTTTTCTCTCTCCTGCTTTCTCTACCTCTTTCCTTCCTTCCCCTCCTTTTCTTTTCCTCCCTCTTTCTGTCATTTCTTCTTTCTCTACCTCTTTCCTTCCATCACTTTTTGCTTCCATCCTTCCTTCTCTTCTTTCCTTCTCTCCTTCTTTCACTCCTTCCTTCACTCCCTCTTTCCTTCCTCCCTGTTTTTCTTTCTTTCTCTCCTTCCTTCTCTACCTCTTTTCTTCCTTCCTTTGTTCTTTGCTTCCATGCTTCCTTCTCTCTTTCCTCCTTTCTTGCGCTCCCTCTTTCTCTCCTTTCTTTCTTTCTTTCTTTCTTTCTTTCTTTCTTTCTCTCCTTTGTTCCTTCTCTACATCTTACTTACTTCTCTCTTTCCTTGTTTCTTGCCCTCCCTCTTTCTCTCCTTCTTCCCTTCCTTCCTTCCTTCCTTCCTTCCTTCCTTCCTTCCTTCCTTCCTTCCTTCCTTCCTTCCTTTTCTCTTCCTTCTTCTTCTCTTCTTTCTTCTTTCTTTCCTTTCCTTTTCTTTCCTTTTTCTTCTTTCTTTCTTTCTTTCTTTCTCTCTCTCTTTCTTTCTTTCTTTCTTTCTTTCTCTCCTTTCTTCCTTCTCTACCTCTTTCCTTCCTTCCTTTGCTCTTTGCTTCCATACTTCTATCTTTTTCTTTTTTTCTTGTCCTCTTTCTTTCTTTCTTTCTTTCTTTCTTTCTTTCTTTCTTTCTTTCTCTCCTTTGTTCCTTCTCTACATTTTTCCTACTTCTCTCTTTCCTTGTTTCTTGCCCTCCCTCTTTCTCTCCTTCTTCCTTCTTTCCTTCCTTCCTTCCTCTCCTTTCTTCCTTCTCTATGTTTTCTTCCTTCCTTTGTTCTTTGCTTCCATGCTGTCTTCTCTCTTTCCTTCTTTCTTGCGCTCCCTCTTTCTTTCCTTTCTTTTTCTCTCTCCTTTGTTCCTTCTCTACATCTTTCTTACTTCTCTCTTTCCTTGTTTCTTGCCCTCCCTCTTTCTCTACTTCTTCTTTCTTTCTTTCTTTCCTTCCTTCCTTCCTTCCTTCCTTCCTTCCTTCCTTCCTTCCTTCCTTCCTTTCCTTCTCTCCCTTCCTCTAGTTCTATCTTTCCTTCTCTTGCTTTGCTTTTCTTTCTCTTTCTCACTATATTCCTTCCTTCCTTTTTCCTTCCTTCCTTCCTTCCTTCCTCTTTCCTTCCTTCTTCTCTTTCCTTCCTTCCTTCCTCTCCTTCTCTTCTCTCTTTTTCTTTCTTTCCCTTCCTCTTCTTTCTTCTCTTCTTTTCCTTCTCTTTCCTTTTTCTTGCCCTCCCTCTTTCTCTCCTTCCTTCCTTCCTTCCTTCCTCTCCTTTCTTCCTTCTCTACGTCTTTCGTTCTTTCCCTTCCTCTCTCTCTCTCTTTCTTTCTCTCCTTTCTTCCTTCTCTACCTCTTTCCTTCCTTCCTTTGCTCTTTGCTTCCATCTTTCCTCTCTCTTTTTCTTTCTCTTTCTTTCTTCTTTCTTTCTTTCTTTCTTTCTTTCTTTCTTTCTTTCTTTCTTCCTTCTTCCCTTCCTCCCTTCCTTCCTTCCTTCCTTCCTTCCTTCCTCCTCCTTCCTTCCTTCCTTCCTCCCTCCCTCCCTCCCTCCCTCCCTCCCTCCCTCCCTCCCTCCCTCTCCCCATTTTTCTGTATTGTCATTTAACCTTTTTTCATTTAGCCTTTTGAGTTTTTTAAGTCCTTTCTGCTGTTTTTTTTTTTAATGAGTGATGGTCACTTGTTGGTCCATTAGGGGTATAGTGTCCAAATTTGGTGTCAATTCGTCCAGTGGTTTTTGAGTTATGTTAAGCCCACAAATGAATATTACATTTTTATTTATATACATAGCAGAGTAGAATGCCAAAAGCAAAGCTTTCTTTTAAGGGTATTACTGTTGAGAAGATGGCTCAAGCAAGTGAGCCAAGTTATGTATGGAGTGAGAGAAACCCAAAGGGAGACAGAAAATCCTGCTGGAGTCTATGGTGCATCTACACTGCAGAATTCATTCAGTTCAGCACCAAGTTAACCGCCATGGCTCCAAGCTGTGGAACTGTGAGAGTTGTCATTTGGCGAGACAGAGTAAGTTCATGGCCTTGTCAACTACAACTCCCAGGATCCCATAGCATCGAGCCATGGCAGTTCAAGTGGTGTCAAGCTGCATCAATCCTACAGTGTAGAAGCATGTTAAATCAGTTGGGAGAAAGTGGAGTGTATTTCTGTTTACACAGAGAAGAGGGTGATGAGTGTATAGGAGGTTTCCAATAATGATTATGATGATTAATGCCATTTCTGATTTATGGATAGGAGGTTTCTAATAATAAAACTGTAATAATAACAATAGGGGACATTTCATTTTTATGGATAGGAGATTTGGAATAGTAGTAGTATTAGTAATAGTAGTGGGTTATTGTAGGATTTTTCGGGCTATGTGGCCATGGTCTAGAAGCATTCTCTCCTGATGCTTCGCCTGCATTTATGGCAAGCATCCTCAGAGGTAGTGAGGTCTATTGGAACTAGGAAAAAGGGTTTATATATCTATGGAATGACCAGGGTGGGACAAAGGACTCTTGTCTGCTGGAGCCAGGTGTTTCAACTGTTTCAACTGACCACCTTGATTAGCATATAATGGCCTGACAGTGCCTAGGGGAACCTTTTGTTGAGAGGTGATTAGATGTCCTTATTTGTTTCCTCTCTGTTGTTGTGCTGTTGTAATTTTAGAGTTTTTTTTAATACTGGTAGCCAGATTTTGTTCATTTTCATGGTTTCTTCCTTTCTGTTGAAATTGTCTACATGCTTGTGTATTTCAGTGGCTTCTCTGTGTAGTCTGACATGGTGGTTGCGAGAGTGGTCCAGCATTTCTGTGTTCTCAAATAATATGCTGTGTCCAGGTTGTAGTAGTAATAGTAGTAATCAACAACCAACATAGTGATCTTGTTTGCTGTGTACTAATCTTGTGTTCCACCTGAACATTAGGAAGAACTTCCTGACTGTGGGAGCTGTTCAGCAGTGGAACTCTCTGCCCTGGAGTGTGGCTCCTTCTTTGGAAGCTTTTAAACAGAGGCTGGATGGCCGTCTGTCGGGCATGCTTTGAATGCAATTTTCCTGCTTCTTGGCAGATTGGGGTTGGGCTGGATGGCCCATGAGGTCTCTTCCAATTCTATGATTCTAACAACAACAACAACAACAACAACAACAACAACAATGTGGTGTTGAAGGCTTTCATGGCCAGAGTCACTGGGTTGCTGTGAATTTTCCAGGCTGTATGGCCATGTTCCAGAAGCATTCTCTCCTGATATTTCACCCACATCTATGGCAGGCATCCTCAGAAGTTGTGAAGTCTCTTGGAAACTAGACAAGCGAGGTTTATATATCTTCCACCCTGGACATTCCACAGATACAAGTATGTAAACGATACTTGCCTAGTTTCCAACAAACCTCACAACCTCTGAGGGTGCCTGCCATAAATGCAGGTGAAATGTCAGAAAAGAATGCTTCTAATAATAAACAGCAACAACAGTATGTAACAACATTTCAAAAAAATCTGTTCCTATATTGTCGAAGGCTTTCATGGCTGGAATCACTGGGTTGTTGTAGGTTTTTTCGGGCTATATGGCCATGTTCTAGAGGCATTCTCTCCTGATGTTTTGCCTGCATCTATGGCAAGCATCCGCACTACCTCTGAGGTTTCCTGCCATAAATGCAGGTGAAATGTCAGGAGAGAATGCTTCTAATAATAAACAACAACAACGGTATGTAACAACATTTGAAAAAAATCTGTTCCTGTCTTGTTGAAGGCTTTCATGGCTGGAAATACTGGGTTGTTGTAGGTTTTTTTCGGGCTATATTACTATGTTCTAGAGGCATTCTCTCCTGGCAAGCATCCTCACCACCTCTGAGGATGCTTGCCATAGATGCAGGTGAAACGTCAGGGGAGAATGCCTCTAGAACATGGCCATATAGCCCGAAAAAACCTACAACAACCCAATCTGTTCCTGGTTTGAAAATGTTATTTCCTGTTTAATTGTGTCTTCTTTCTTTTGAAAGTAGTTGTTCTACTCCAGAAACTTTGCTTTTGTAGTTGCCACAATGAGATATTCATTGCAAAACGATTGCAAAATCATAGAATCATAGAATCAGAGAGTTGGAAGAGACCTCATGGGCCATCCAGTCCAACCCCGTTCTGCCAAGAAGCAGGAATATTGCATTCAAATCACCCCTGACAGATGGCCATCCAGCCCCTGTTTAAAAGCTTCCAAAGTAGGAGCCTCCACCACACTCCGGGGCAGAGAGTTCCACTGCTGAACGGCTCTCACAGTCAGGAAGATCTTCCTCATGTTCAGATGGAATCTCCTCTCTTGTAGTTTGAAGCCATTGTTCCGCGTCCTAGTCTCCAGGAAAGCAGAAAACAAGCTTGCTCCCTCCTCCTCCCTGTGGCTTCCTCTCACATATTTATACATGGCTATCATATCTCCTCTCAGCCTTCTCTTCTTCAGGCTAAAAATGCCCAGCTCCTTAAGCCGCTCCTCATAGGGCTTGTTCTCCAGACCCTTGATCATTTTAGTCGCCCTCCTCTGGACACATTCTGCAGGGTGATGTCCCTCCTGCAAAGACAAGGTTTTGGCAGTTTAATAAACTTTCCCCATGTTTTTTTATGATAGAACTAATTAGGAAATGACATTTATAACCCAGGAACAAAAATAGTGTCTTATAGTGTAATTGGCTTTGTTTTTTTCCTCCCTCCAGGAGTGCCAGGATGGCACCCGACGATGGCACCGAATGGCTTCTTCAGCTCTTAACCGAGATCCAACTGGAGCAGTTCTATAGCAGGATCCGAGATGAACTACATGTCACTCGTCCGGGACACTTTGACTACGTCAAGCCGTCCGACCTGGAACGTATTGGCATGGGGCGACCAGGTAAGGCACCTTCGGAAATGTCCCAATGGAGAAGGGCTTTCCGAAGCACTGGAGTTCCAAGGATATTATGTGCTAAAGCAAGCATGGGCCAATTTCGACCCTCCAGGTGTTTTGGACTCCAACTCCCACAATTCCTAACAGCCGACAGGCTGTTAGGAATTGTGGGAGTTGAAGTCCAAAACACCCGGAGGGCTGAAGTTGGGCCATGCCTGCTTTAAACTATGTTGAATTGGTTGTCAGTCGTCAATGTTGCAATCCCAGCCAACAGCAGGATTGACGAGAAGCAACTGGAAAAGCTTTCACAATATGAGGATTTAAAGATCAAACTGCAAAGACTCCAGCACAAGCCAGTCATGGGGGTCCAGTGGTGATCGGCACACTGGGTGCAGTGCCTCTAGAACTTGGCCTGCACTTAAAAACAATCAGCGTTGACAAAATTGCCACGTTAGCTGCAAAAGGCCACCCTACTGGGATCTGCACACATTATTTGCTGATACGTCACACAGTCCTAGACACTTGGGAAGTTATTTATTTATTTATCTATCGTGTCAGGGGCAACCAGTCAATTGTATTACATTTCTAACAGAACAAAACAAACAAACAGATAAAAAACACAACGTTTGCAAGCTTGGTAGTTGATTAAATGTCCTTTGACCAGTATCTGGCCACTTGGAGTGCTTCTAGAGTTGCTGTAAGAAGGTCCTCCATTGTGTATGTAGCAGGGCTCAAGTTGCATTGCAGCAGGTAATCAGTGGTTTGCTCTTCTCCATACTTGCATGTCGTGGATTCCACTTTGTGGCCCCATTTCTTGAGGTTGGCTCTGCATCTCGTGGTGCCAGAACACAGTCTGTTCAGCGCCTTCCAAGTTGCCCAGTCTTCTGTGTGCCCAGGGGGGAGTCTCTCATTTGGTATCAGCCATGGATTGAGGTTCTGGGTTTGAGCCTGCCACCTTTGGACTCTCGCTTGCTGAGGTGTTCCAGCTAGTGTCTCTGTAGACCTTAGAAAACTATTTCTTGATGTGCTGGCTGATACCAAAACAGGGGATGAGCTGGAGATGTCTCTGCCTTGGTCCTTTCACTATTGGTTGCTACTTCCCGGCGGATGTCAGGTGGTGCGATACCGGCTAAACAGTGTAATTTCTCCAGTGGTGTAGGGCGCAGACACCCCGTGATAATGCGGTATGTCTCATTCAGAGCCACATCCACTGTTTTAGTGTGGTGAGATGTGTTCCATACTGAGCATGCATACTCAGCGGCAGAGTAGTATAGCGCAAGGGCAGATGTCTTCACTGTGAAGACACAGTGAAGACTTGGGAAGTGTTTGATGTGTGATCCAATACAAAAGCCAGCATAGTAATCTTCTTTGCTTTGTGTGAATCTTGTTGTGTATCTAATAATAACAATATATTTTCTTGCAGGACAGAGACGGTTGGAGGATGCCTTAAAACGTAGGCGGCCCCAAGGCCAGCGCCCCATGTCCTGGGTCTATAAGGTATTTTTTTCCTATCTCTTTTTGCAAAAGTATGTCCATCATAAAACGTATTTAGCTTTCCAGAACCCATTGCCATCTGGGGCCTTTTGGAAAATATAGTCTGAAAGAAGCTCACTTTTCTCTAACTCATTCTATGTCCTCTGTAATAATAATAATAATAATAATAATAATAATAATAATAATAATAATAATCCTTTATTTATACTCCGCTACCGCCTCCCACAGGACTCAGTGCGGCTTACAAGAGACCGAGCCCAAAATACATCAGAACAAAAAACACAATCACAACAATACAATACAACAATAAATAACTCATAGCAAAGCAAAAACAAGAACAAAATATCACAACGCAATTTAAAAACCTGGCAGGGCCAAATGTAAAGATTAAAAAAAATTAAATGCTGGATATGACCAGGCGAAAAAGGATGGATATTTTGGGGGGTAAGTGGGTGTGCAGACAATTCTAACTCTCTCGTAAAGTGCATTTGGGACATATTGCTTGGGATTCCTTAATCTGGGAAGGCACACTGGAACATCCATGTTTTCAAGCTCCTTCTGAAGACTGCCAATATTGGGGCATGCCTGATGTCCTTGGGGAGGGAGTTCCAGAGTTGTGGGGCCACCACTGAGAAGGCCCTGTCCCTCGTCCCCACCAATCGCGCTTGCGATGCAGGTGGGATCGTGAGCAGGGCCTCTCCAGATGAACGAAGAGATCTAATGGAGCAAGGTGCTTTCTCCTCTTGCTGCCTGGCAGAACAGGGTTGGACTAGATATCCTCTAAGTGCCCCTTCCAACTCTGTGAATGCTTTCTTGTTCTCGTTTCCTGCAGATGTTCACTGGGGGACGGAGCCCAGAGCAGGAAGATGCCCCACATCCCACCCCACCAGCAGCGGCTCCTTCGGTGCCCAGAGTGGATGCCGAGGCCTCCTTGAAATGTCTGATCAGTGAGTGGGACCTGCGGCTGCGCGAACGGCTGGGCGATGGATGCTTTGGGGTCGTGCACCGGGCCGAATGGACCGCCCCAGGAGGAGGCATTGTAAGTGCTCCAGAGACTGTGATTCCCATTGTAGAGGTAGAAAGAAGCAGGGCCGTAAGCCAGAACAAAATTTCGGGAGGGGTTGAAATTTTCGGGGGGGGGGGGGGTGAAAAATTTCACGGGGGGTTGAAACCTGCCTCCTAGCTCACGCTGAAGCAAAGAGCACAGCAGGGGGCAGAGCAGCCTTCAATAGCCTGCAGCTCCGCCCCTGTCAACTACCTCCACCAAGTCTGGCCTCCTTAATGAGAGCATTCAACACCCCCCCCCCCAACTTGGTTGCTTCACTACTGTTCTGTCGAGCGCTGGGCCTGTAAATAATTGTCTTTAGAACAGGATGTGCAACCTTTGCCCAGCGGGAAGCCAGGGGCCTAAAGAGAAGTTCTCAAAGGTTTCCACCACAAACAATCTTTAGATGGCTTGAGTACAAGAAAGTCTTTTATTAATGAACAATCAAACAGAAACTTCTCTTGTCTTCAGTAAAGTTAAGCAAATGATTACAAGCTTTTAGGCAACTGGTGAATTCCTAATCTTGCCCACGAAGGACAGGCAACTGTCTTCAATAACTTCAAAACGGGAAAATCCCCGTTTTAACTTCTCCCAGGCTGACTGTAATCTAACCCTTACTGATGTGGGCTCTGCTACCGGGTCGAACTGCGTCTCGAACGCCGAGTGGACCTACCAGCAAGGCAGTAGATGTTCTCCAGCTGGAGTTCTTTGGTCTTTAGGGCTGTTTTCCTGGAAATTCTTTGGAGACTCTTAAGACCTTTCTCCCCCGGAAGGTCTTAAGGGTTGAAGCTTTTGTACAGGGGAAGCTTGCACACATCCTATACATAAGCTTACCTTGCTGAGACTAATTAATATGGCTCCCTTCCCTTCCCAATTGCCCTGAGCAAGGGGCGGAACCAAAACTTAACAATCATGGACAGGTGACTTGCCCTATGACTGCAACCAAATAAGCCACCTATCTGCAGAGTCCCTGAAACCTAGGACTGCAAGTAAACATTTAATACAAAGCAAATAAAGTTGGAGCTCCTGGTACAGCTGTACCAGAACAACTACATCGGCTATTGCTGCAAGTAATTACAGTGTGAATAAATTGCTAATATTTGCTTGAGATAGTGCTTGCAATTCTGGAGGGACTCTTAATTTTTTGCATCTCATAGACTTAGCATGATTGGGTTAACCAGTTAAAATTCATGAGTAAACCAGGTTTTTTAAAAAAATCTGAAACATTTCGGGGGGGTTGAACCCCTAAAACCACCCCCCCCCCCCTCGCTACGGGCCTGGAAAGAAGAACAGTAAATTGTCCTCTCCATTTAGGATTCAATGGTTCCAACTTCCAGTCTTGTATTAACACTTGATCTAGTGGGGCTTCCACAATCTCCTCATCCCATACAGACATTGTTTTGGGGGCTCATCCGGGATATAAACGTGGGACCTGCTGTGGCATCATACTGCATCCATTCATCTTTGGGTTGCAGAGTGAAGATAGGTTAGCCTTGATTATCCTGAGTTGAATGATTCTTGGGTTGCATCTACCCTGTAGAACAGGCATGGGCAAACTTTGGCCCTGCAAGTGTTTTGGACTTCAACTCCCACAATTCCTAACAGCATCAGGCCGTTTCCTTTTCCCCGTCAGGGGAAAAGGAAAGGGCCTGAGACTGCTAGGAATTGTGGGAGTTGAAGTCCAAAACACCTGCAGGGTCAAAGTTTGACCATGGTTGCTGTGGAATGAACGCTCTCTGACAAAACTTGAACTGCCGCGGCTCAATGCTATGGAATGCTGGGAGTTGTAGTTTCACTTTCCCTGCCAAAGAGTCCTTAAGCCTCACCAAACTGCATCTTCCAGGATTTGATAGTATTGAGCCATGGATGATAGAATAGAATACGATTTTATTGTCATTGGCACCACCACAATGCAAGAAAATCTTTGGAGTTGTCCTTTTGCAAGGTCTTCTCTGCCAAATAAGGCTGGTGCCTCAAACTACAGATCCTAGGATTCCATTGCAGTGAACCATAGCTGTTTAAGTGGGGTTAAACTGCATTCATTCGACACTCAGCCATTGGAAGCATGCGCACATATAGGATCTGTGCTTGGGCCCCTTCCTCCCCCAAATGCCGAACCTCCAGAACATGGGGGAAGGTGCCTTTTTTTTACTACAACTCCCACAATCCCCCAAACCAGTTATGCTGGGAATGGGTATCCAAAAAAGAAGATCCATCCTCAAGTCCAGAAGGACCACTCAGGAATATCAGGCTCTGTTTCAGCTGCCCAAACCAACTATTCCTTGCCTAATGAAACACCCTGGAGTGCATAAGGCACATTGACACATGGGTAAGGGTTACCGCTGCAGCCTTGCAATGGCGCACAAAGTCCCTGCCTGACATCTTTCCTTCCCCAGATCCCGGTCGCCGTGAAAACGCTTCGCTCTGACGTCTCTGCCGATCCAGGGGCCCTGATCGACTTCCTCAACGAAGTCAACGCCATGTGCTGCCTGCACCACCCCAACCTCATTCGCCTCCATGGGGTGGTCCTCACCCAGCCCCTCAAAATGGTAAGTTTTGAGGTCACACATGGTGAAACTTCAGCCCCCCCCCCCCCCCCCGGTGTTTTGGATTTCAGCTCCCACAATTCCTAATACCCTGTAGTAATTGTGGGTGTTGAAGTCTAAAACACCTGAAAGGATGGCCTGAAGTTTCACCATGCCTGAAGTAGACCCCTAAGTCAAACTGGAGGACATAAAGACTCCTAGAAATTGGAGAAATGGGGGGGGGGGGTGATGGTATCTGGCAGAATAGGGTTTGACTAGATGGCCTTTAGGTGTCCCTTCCAACTATAGGTTTCTAGGATTAAATCTTTGAAGATTTTTAAACAGACTGGATGGCCATCTGTCAGGAGGACTTTGATTGTGCCTTCCTGCCTAGCATAATGGGGTTAGACTAGATGGCTTTTAAGGTTCCCTTCCAACTATAGGTTTCTACCATTCCATCTTTTTAATATAGGAGTGGATGGCCATCCATTGGGAAGGGTTTGATGGTGTCTTCCTGCCTGACAGAATAGGATTTGACTAGATGGCCTTTAGGGGTATCTTCCAACTGTAGATTTCTAGGATTTAATGTTTGGAGTCTTTGCAAACAGGCTGGATGGGACTTCGATTATGCCTTCCTGCTAAGCATAATGGGGTTGGACTGGATGGCCTTTGGGTGCCCCTTCCAACTATGGGTTTCTAGCATTCCATTGGGAGGGTTTGAATGGTGTCTACTGAATGGGGTTGGACTGGATGGCCTTTGGGTGCCCCTTCCAACTATAGGTTTCTAGCATTCTATCTTATTTATACTGGAGCTGAATGACCTTCCATTGGGAGGACTTGAATGGTGTCACCTGAATGGGGTTGGACTGGATGGCCTTTGGGTGCCCCTTCCAACTATAGGATTCTAGCATTCCATCTTTTTTATACCAGAGCTGAATGGCCATCCATTAGGAGGACTTGAATGGTGTCACCTGAATGGGGTTGGACTGGATAACCTTTGGGTGCCCCTTCCACCTCTAGGATTCTCTCATTCCACCCTTTTCCTCCCATAGGTAACAGAACTGGCCCCGCTGGGCTCCCTCTACGACCGTCTCCGCCCGCCCTTCCCGCTCCACCGGCTCTGGAGCTACGCCTCTCAGGTAGCTAATGGCATGGCCTATTTGGAAGCCAAGCTCTTCGTCCACCGGGACTTGGCTGCCCGCAACATCCTCCTGGCCTCTGAAGAGCAGGCCAAGATCGGGGACTTTGGCCTGATGCGACCGCTGTCCAGCAAGAGTGACCGCTACATCATGTCGGCCCACCGGCGCATCCCCTTCGCCTGGTAGGAAGACATTATTGGTCCCTTTGGGTGGTCTGAAACATCCCTTCCCAACACTGTATTTGCGTGTTGAACTCTTTCCAGGGGTGCGTCTACACTGCAGTTTGAAACCGCTTTAACATCCACAGTTCAGTGCTGTGAAATCCTGGAAATTGTAGTATTATAAGATCCTCTTGAATAAAGTGTGCCAGTGCCTCCATCCTAGGAGTACAACTCCTAGGATGGAGCCAGGGCAATTAAAGTGGTGTCAACTGCATTAATCCAACAATGTAGATGCACCGGATTTCAACATTAGATTTTTCAAACTATTTGGAAAGTAATAGATTCTCCTTCCTTGGAGGCCTTTAAACAGAGGTTGAAGTGGAATATTTCAGCACTGCTTTAGTTGGGTATTCTTGCATGGCAGAATGGGGCTGGACTAGATGACCCTTGGACTGTCTCTATCTATCTATCTATCTATCTATCTATCTATCTATCTATCTATCTATCATATATGTATAACATCTATTAACTATCTGTCTAGCTATTCTGTCTATCTATCTATCTATCTATCTATCTATCTATCTATCTATTATACATGTCTATCTATTATCTATCTATCTGTATTTTGTCTGTCTGTCTGTCTATCTATCTATCTATCTATCTATCTATCTATCTATCTATCTATTATGTATGTCTATCTATTATATCTATCTATTTATCTATTATATATGTATGTATATCTATCTATTATATATGCATATCTACCTATCTATTATATATGTATAGCTATCTATCTATTATATATGTCTGTCTGTCTATCTATTATATCTATCTATTATATATGTATAACATCTTTATCTATTAACTATCTGTCTAGCTATTCTATCTATCTATTTATCTATTATATATGTATGTATATCTATCTATTATATATGCATATCTACCTATCTATATTCTATATGTCTGTTTATCTATCTATCTATCTATCTATCTATCTATCTATCTATCTATCTATCTATTATATATGTATAACATCTCTATTAACTATCTGTCTAGCTATTCTATTTATCTATTATATATGTATGTATATCTATTATATATGCATATCTACCTATCTATCTATTATCTATGTCTGTTTGTCTATCTATCTATCTATCTATCTATCTATCTATCTATCTATTATATCTATCTATTATATCTATCTATATATCTATATGTCTGTCTATCTATCTTATATGTCTGTCATATCTATCTATCTATTATATCTCTATATCTATCTATCTATTATATATGTATAACATCTATTAACTATCTGTCTAGCTATTCTATCTATCTATGTATGTATGCATTACACATGTCTATCTATTATCTATCTATCTATCTATCTATCTATCTATCTATCTATCTATCTTTTGTCTGTTTATCTATCTATCTATCTATCTATCTATTATATCTATCTATTTATCTATTATATATGTATAACTATTATATACGTCTGTCTGTCTATTATATCTATCTATCTATTATATATGTATAGCTATTATATATGTATAGCTATCTATCTATTGTATATGTCTGTCTATCTATTATATTTATCTATTATATATGTATAACATCTCTATCTATTAACTATCTGTCTAACTATTCTATCTATCTATTTATTATATATGTATGTATATCTATCTATTATATATGCATATCTACCTATCTATCTATTATATGTCTGTCTATCTATATATTATATATGTCTGTCTATCTATCTATCTATTATATCTATTATATATGTCTATCTATCTGTCTATCTATCTATCTATTTATTTATTTACTTTACTTGTATACTGCAGTTTCTCAGCCTAACAGGCGACTCAACGCAGTTTACAACAAGGATAAGATCAATCAACGATATACAATTTAAAACCATTAGAGCACAATATACAATACTGACAAAACAATAACAACACAATGCATCTCATAACTAGAGTCGTGATCCAGTTTCGTCGTCCATATTTCCATTCCTGTAATCATCACATTCATTGCACTGATTAACCAAATGCCTGTTCAAACATCCAAGTTTTGAATCTCCTTCGGAACACCATTAGCGAGGAGGCTGATCTTACCTCCATGGGAAGGGCGTTCCACAGCCGAGGGGCCACCACAGAAAAGGCCCTGTCTCTCGTCCCCGCCAGCCGCACCTGTGAAGCAGGCGGGATAGAGAGCAGGGCCTCCCCAGAAGATCTTAGGGTCCTGGTGGGCTGATAGGCCGAGATACGTTCAGATAGATAAGTTTAGGGCTTTAAAGGCCAATGCCAGCACTTTGAATTGGGCCCGGTAGCAAATCGGCAGCCAGTGGAGCTGGTGCAGCAAAGGAGTGGTACGCTCCCTGCGCTCCGCTCCTGTTAGTATCATGGCTGCCGAACGTTGGACTAATTGGAGCTTCCGAGCCGTCTTCAAGGGCAACCCCACGTAGAGAGTGTTGCAGTAGTCTAAACGGGATGTAACCAGGGCGTGGACTACCGTGGCCAAGTCAGACTTCCCAAGGTACGGGCACAGTTGGCGCACGAGTTTTAACTGTGCGAATGCTCCCCTGGTCACCGCCGAGACCTGGGGTTCCAGGCTCAGCGATGAGTCCAGGATCACACCCAAACTGCGAACCTGCGTCTTCTATTATATATGCCTGTCTATCTATCTATCTATCTATCTATCTATCTATCTATCTATCTATCTATTATATATGTCCATCTATCTATCTATTATATATGACTGTCATATCTATCTATTATAGGTATCTATATATCTATCTATTATATCTATTTATCTATTATATATGCATGTCTATCTATTATATATGCATATCTACCTATTATATATATATATCTATATATATCTATATCTATATCTATATCTATATCTATATCTATATCTATATATATATATAATAGATGTCTATCTATTATATATGTCTGTCTGTCTGTCTATTATATCTATCTATTATAGCTATCTCCATATCTATCTATTATATATGTCTATCTATCTATTATATATGTCTGTCTGTCATATCGATCTATCTATCTATTTATCTATCTATCTATCATATCTCTCTATATATCTATCTATTATGTCTATCTATTATGTCTATCTATTTATCTATCTTTTCATGGGGGTTGGACTGGATGACCCTTGGAAGTCCCCTTCCTTGCCTTCACCTCTTACTTTTGCAAATAAATTATACTAAACCGATTTATAACAAACCTGGGACTCTCTGCAAGATTTCTCCCTCCAAGTTAATCCCTAAACAGATTACCTGTCTATATCATTTAAGGCCCTGGGGGAGAAAAGGGAAGACCAAGGCTTCCAGGGATAATTATCGTAGCTCTTTCTCCGGGTGGCTGATTGGGAAAGCATTGTGGTCGCCTAGGATCAAGGCCCGCTTATCAAGAGATCCCAGTGATAAAGCTCTAGACTCCCATTGGCTCCTAAACCTGAGCCCAGGCAGCAGTATTGAAGTCTATTTATGTCCCTAGAATACACAGGAGGTTTAGTTCACATTTGTTTCCAAGGTGACCGCATGGAGACTGTCACAAACTGGGGGAGGAAATGGGGACTCTCGCATTGCGGTTGTGTAACAACCATGATGCAAGAAGAAAATACACACACACGGTGTGTGTGCGTGTGTGTAGCATTCCTTTGTACTCCTCCCAACCCTGTATATCTTATGCAAGAAGGCTCTCTGCACATGCTCAGAGGTGCAATACATACCATCCAACTGTCCTGCCTTCCTGCTTGGCAGAAGCAGGGGTGTACTGGATGACCTTTGGGGGTCCCTTCTATCTTTAGCGTTCTATGACAGATGCATCATAGAATATAATGTATCTATTTATCATATATATGGCTGGATGGCCATCTGCGGGGAGGGATCGGATGATGTCTTCCTGTCTGGCAGAAAGAGGGTGGACTGGATGACTTTTGGGGGTCCCTTCTGATGCTAGCATTCTATAATAGATATATATGATAGAATATAGTGTATTTATCATCTCTATGGCTGGATGGCCATCTATTGGAAGAGATCAGATGATATCTTCCTGTCTGGCAGAAGGGGGTTGGACTGGATGACCTTTGGGAGTCCCTTCTATCTTTATTATTCTATGATGGATAGAATAATCTCTCATATATCTATGGGTAGATGGCCATCTGTTGGGAGGGATCAGATGATATCTTCCTGTCTGGTACAAAGGGATTGGACTGGATGACCTTTGGGAGTCCCTTCTGACTCTAGGATTCTATGATAGATTTATCATAGAATATAGTGTATCTATCTATCATCTCTATGGCTGGATGTCCATCTGTTGGGAGGGGTCAGATGATATCTCCCTGTCTGATAGAAAGAGGTTGGAGCTATCATTTATCTGTGGCTGGATGGCCATCTGCTGGGGTCAGATAATATCTCCCTGTCTGGCACAAGGGGATTGGATTAGATGACCTTTGGGAGTCCCTTCTGACTCTACGATTCTATGATAGATATATATCATAGAATATAGTGTATCTCTCTCACACATCTATGGCTTGATGGCCATCTGTTGGGAGGGATCAGATGATGTCTTCCTGCCTGGCAGATGAGGGTTGGACTGGATGACCTTTGGGGGTCCCTTCTGACTCTAGGACCCCCAAAGGTCATCCAGTCCAACCCTCATCTGCCAGGCAGGAAGACATCATCTGATCCCTCCCAACAGATGGCCGTCCAGTCATAGATGGGGGTCCCTTCTGACTCTATATGATAGATATATTATAGAATATAATGTATCTGTCATCTCTATGGATGGCCATCTGTCAGGAGGACTTCGATTATGCCTTCCTGCCAGGCATAATGGGGTTGGACTGGATGGCCTTTGGGTGCCCCTTCCAACTATGGGTTTCTAGCATTCCATTGGGAGGAATGCTATTCTAGGAGGGTTGGGCTGGATGCCCTTTGGGGTACCCTCCAATTATTTTATTTATTTATTTATTTACTATACTTGTATACTTATTGGCAACTCTTACGATTCTGTATGTTTTGTCTTCTCATTTCTCCTCTTCCTCTGGAAGGTGTGCCCCGGAGAGCCTGCGCATGGGCGTCTTCACCAGCGCCTCGGACGTCTGGATGTTCGGCATCACTCTTTGGGAGATGTTTTCGTACTGCGAAGAGCCCTGGATGGGACTCTCGGGGAGGCAGGTACGATTGCCATGCACCTGGTGGGAAATTTGCACGAGAGCATTGATTGCAGTGGCATTCGTGCACCGATTGCAGGCACATCACCATTCAGTGCTCTCAGCCTGGCAACCTTGAATAACGCCTTTTGTCTGCAAACAGGAAGTGCTTACCTAGGAGTCATTTCCCATGATCAACCCTGAGTCCTCTGCCCTACCTTTGGGGACAATTGGGCCTCATTTCCTCTCCCCAGGGACGCTTTTGACCCATTTTGGAAACAGGAAATGGTTTCTTCGCTGGAAAGAGAAGCCTAGAGTTGGTCTACACTGCAGATTTAATGCAGTTTGAACCCACTTGAACTGCCACTAATGCAATTTTAGGAGTTGTAGTTCGGTCAGGTGCCATGTAAAAGCAGAACTCCATAGCCTTCAGCCAGGGCAGTTCAAGTATTCATTCCACAGTGTAGATATACCTCAAATTGTCCCACAAGTAGCAAACGTGGGATGAAACCCTCTAAAATTTGACATTTTGAGCCCTAAATAATTGCAACTTTGAGGTAGAGTCTCCAAAAACAGAAATTGTTTGGAGTCTGGTGTAGAAGTGGATGGCCATCTGCTGGGAGGGATTGAATGGTGTCTACACCAAAAGGGGGTTTGACTAGATAGCCTTTAGGGGTCCCTTCCAACTATAGGCTTCTGTGATTTAATCTTTGGAGTTTTTTAAACACAAGGTCTAGATGGCCATCTGTCGGGAGGGCTTTGATGGCATCTTCCTACATGGAAGAAGAGGGCCAGACTGGATGTTCTTTGGGGTCCTTTTCAACTCCAATACAACCTAATGGAGGTTTTGAAGCAGAGGTTGGGTGGCCATCTGCCGGGAGGGCTTTGATAGTGCCTTCCGCACTTATAGGAGGTTGGTCTGGATGGCCTCTGGGGTCCTTTCCAACTCTAATACAACCTGAGGGAGGTTTGGAAGCAGAGGCAGGATGGCCATCTGTCGGGAGGGCTTTGATGGTGCCTTCCCGAATTATAGGACGTTGGTCTGGATGGCCTCTGGGGTGCTTTCCAACTTCAGTACAACCTGATGGAGGTTTTGAAGCAGAGGTTGGATGGCCATCTGCCGGGAGAGCTTTGATGTCACCTTCCCGAATTAGAGGAGGTTGATCTGGATGGCCTCTGGGGTCCTTTCCAACTTCTATGCAACATGATGGAGGTTTTGAAGAAGAGGCTGGCCATCTGTCGGGAGGGTTTTTAATGGTGCCTTCCCCAATAATAGGAAGAGGCTGGATGGCCATCTGTCTGGAAGGCTTTGATGGTGCCTTCCCCAATTACAGGAGGTTGGTCTGGTTGGCTTCTGGGGTCCTTTCCAATTCCAATACAACCTGATGAAGGTTTTGAAGCAGAGGCTGGATGGCCATCTGTCAGGAGGCCTTTGATGGTACCCTCCCCAATTATAGGAGGTTGGTCTGAATGGTCTCTAGGGTGCTTTCCAATTCCAATACAACCTGGTGGAGATTTGGACACAGAGTCTGGATGGCCATCTGTCGGAAAGGCTTTGATGGTGCCTTCCCCAATTATAGGAGGTTGGTCCGAATGGCCTCTGGGGTGCTTTCCAACTCCAATACAACCTGGTGGAGGTTTTGAAGCAGATGCCGGATGGCCATCTGTTGGGAGGGCTTTGATAGTGCCTTCTCGAATTATAGAAGATTGGTCTGAATTGCCTCTGGGGTCCTTTCCAACTCCAATATAACCTGATGGAGATTTGGACGCAGAGGCTGGATGGCCGTCTGTTGGGGAGGCTTTGATGGTGACTTCTCCAGTTATAGGAGGTTGCTCTGGATGGTCTCTGAGGTCCTTTCCAACTCCAATACAACCTGATGGAGGTTTTGAAGCAGAGGCTGGATGGCCATCTGTCGGGAGGGCTTTGATAGTGCCTCTGGGGTGCTCTCCAATTCCAATCCAACCTGATGGAGGTTTTGAAGCAGGAACTGGATGGCCATTTGCTAGGAGAGCTTTGATAGTGCCTCCACCAATTATAGAAGATTGGTCTGAATGGCCTCTGGGGTCCTTTCCAACTCCAATACAACCTGATGGAGGTTTTGAAGCAGAGGCTGGATGGCTATCTGTCAGGAAGGCTTTGATGGTGCCTTCCCGAATTACAGGAGATTGGTCTGAATGGCCTCCGGGGTGCTTTCCAACTCCAATACAACCTGATGGAAGTTTTGAAGCAGAGGCCGGATGGCCATCTGTCGGGAGGGCTTTGATAGTGCCTTCTCAAATTATAGAAGATTGGTCTGAATAGCGTCTGGGGTGGTTTCCATCTCCAATACAACCTGAGGGAGGTTTGGAAGCAGAGGCTGGATGACCATCTGTCAGGAAGGCTTTGATGGTGCCTTCCCCAATTATAGGAGGTTGGTCTGGATGGCCTCTGGGGTCTCCTCCAACTCTATAATTCTATTTCTTCCTGGTCTGTTGTTAAATCCGTCACTTCCAATGACTCAGAGCTCTAATGCCCCAGAAATGCAGTCCCTCCCCACCAAAAAATCCCTTCTGTGACCTGGATGGCCTGTTCCTCACGTTCCTGGGTACCTTGACCTAGATAATCCGGGTTCTAGACTCGCTCAGCTGTGAATTGGCACCATTGCTTTCCTTGTTCCACCCAGTGTGTCACCTTTGTAAACAAAGGGACAGTCACGCTGGCCTGTGATAGGGACTCAAGACCAGGCATGGTCCAACTTGGGCCCTCCCTCCAGGTGTTTTGGACTTCAACTCCCACCATTCCTAACAGCCGGTAGGCTGTTAGGAATGGTGGGAGTTGGAGTCCAAAACACCTGGAGGGAGGGCCCAAGTTGGACCATGCCTGGTATAGATGCAGAGACTAAAGGGCGGCATTTGGAGGAGAATTTCCTTCCTTTTGCTCCTCAGCCTCTAGCTACGCCCCTGGCACGATCGTGCAGCACTATAATTTCCACTCTTATTCAAAATATTCTATACTACGTGACACTATATTTTGATCCACGTCCCTTGAAGGCGGCGGAAACCCGAGAAATACTCCTACAGCAGTTTAATCACTTTTTTTTGTGAGTCACTCCACCAAATGTATGGTTCAAAGTACTTAATTGCAGCCTTCTTGAACCCGGTTGACGTGTCTGAGGTTTCAAAACTGTGTCTCCATGTATTGGTATATATGGGAGTTATAGTTTCCCAAGGCCTCTGCCCATAAAGGCTGATAACTTGCCAAACTACAACTCTCGGGAATCTCTAGCATTGAACTATGGTGCCTTGCCAAACTACAGCTCCCAGGATTCCATGGCATGGAGTTTCTCGCCAAACTACAATTCCCAGGAATCCATTGCATTGAACTATGGTGCCTTTCCAAACTACAGCTCCCAGGATTCCATAGCATTGATTTTCTTGCCAAACGACACCTCCCAGGATTCCATATCATGGAGTTCCTTGCCAAACTACAACTCCCAGAATTCCGTAGCATTGAGCTATGGTTTCTCATCAAACTAGATCTCTCAGGAATCCATAGCATTGGACTATGATGCCTTGCCAAACTACAGCTCCCAGGATTCCATAGCATTGACTTTCTTGCCAAATGGCACCTCCCAGGATTCCATACCATAGAGTTTCTTGTCAAACTACAGCTCCCAGGATTCCATAGCATTGACTTTCTTGCCAAACGACACCTCCCAGGATTTCATATCATGGAGTTTCTTGCCAAACTACAACTCCCAAAATTCCGTAGCATTGAGCTATGGTTTCTCATCAAACTAGATCTCTCAGGAATCCATAGCATTGGACTGTGCTGCCCTGCCGAACTACAGCTTCCAGGATTCCATAGCATTGACTTTCTTGCCAAATGGCACCTCCCAGGATTCCATACCACGGAGTTTCTTACCAAACTACAATTCCCAAGATTCCATAGCCTTGAATTCCCAGAATTCCATAACATGGAGCTATAATTTCTTGCTAAACTACAACTCCCAGGACTCCTTAGCATGTAACTATGGTGCTTTATCACACTACAGAATTCCTCTTGGGTTGACAGAGAGCGGGATATAAATGTAGTAAATGCATAAATAAATAAACACAGCTCCCAGGATTCCATGGCATTATGTTTCTTGTTGTACTACAACTTCCAGAATTCCATAGCATGGTGCTATAGTTTCTCGTTAAACTACAACTTCCAGGAATCCATAGCATTGAACTATGGTGCCTTGCCAAACTACAACTCCCATGATTGCATAGCATTGAACTATGGTGCATTGCAAACTACTACTCCCAGGAATTTATAGCATGGAGTTACTCGACAAACTACAGCTCCCAAAATTTGATAGCATTGAGCTATGGTTTCTCGACACAAATCCCAGAAATCCATAGCATTGAACTATGGTGCCTTGCCAAACTACAGCTCCCAGGATTCCATAGCAAGGAGTTTATCGCCAAACTAGAACTCCCAGGAATCCATAGCATTGAGTTATGGTTTCTCGCCAAACTACAGCTTCCAGGATTCCATAGCATGGAGTTTCTTGGCAAACTATAACTCCCAGGATTCCTTAGCATGGAGTTTCTTGCAGAATCCTGTAGCATGGAGCTATGGTTTCTTGCCAAACTACAATCTGTAGCACTGAACAGTGTTGCCTTGCCAAACTACAACTCCCAGGATTCTATAGCATTGAGTCATGGCAGGTAATTCTGCAGCATAAGATGCTCTCCTAGTGAACTGGACTGTCTTCTGGTTTGCTCTGTCTATGTATTAAACATCCTAATAAATAATAATAGCAATAATAATAATAATAATAATAATCTACAATTCCCAGGAATCTGTAGCATTGACTTTGGTGCCTTGCTAAAATACAGCTCCCAGAATTCCATAGCATGAAGTCACCACTCCCACGAAATAGTAGCATTTAACTATGGTGGCTTGTCAAACTACAACTCCCAGGAATCTGTAGCATTGAACTATGGTGTCTTGCTGAAGTACCGCTCCCAGAATTCCATGGCATGAAGTCACCACTCCCAGGAATTCATAGCATTGAACTATGGTGCCCTGCCAAACTAGAACTCCCAGGAATCTGTAACATTGAACTATGGTGTCTTGCTGAAGTACAGCTCCCAGAATTCCATGGCATGATGTTACCACTCCCAGGAATCTGTAGCATTGAACTATGGTGCCCTGCCAAACTACAACTCCCAGGAATCTGTAGCATTGAACTATGGTGGCTTGTGAAACTACAACTCCCAGGAATCTGTAGCATTGAACTATGGTGGCTTGTGAAACTACAACTCCCAGGAATCTGTAGCATTGAACTATGGTGCCTTGGTAAAATAAAGCTCCCAGAATTCCATAGCATGAAGTCACCACTCCCAGGAATCTGTATCATTGAACTATGGTGGCTTGTCAAACTACAACTCCCAGGAATCTGTAGCATTGAACTATGGTACCTTGCTAAAATACAGCTCCCAGAATTCCATAGCATGAAGTCACCACTCCCAGGAATCTGTAGCATTGAACTATGGTGGCTTGTCAAACTACAACTCCCAGGAATCTGTAACATTGAACTATGGTGGCTTGTGAAACTACAACTCCCAGGAATCTGTAGCATTGAACTATGGTGTCTTGCTGAAGTACAGCTCCCAGAATTCCACGGCATGAAGTCACCACTCCCAGGAATCTGTAGCATTGAATTATGGTGGCTTGTGAAACTACAACTCCCAGGAATCTGTAGCATTGAACTATGGTGTCTTGCTGAAGTACCGCTCCCATAATTCCATGGCATGAAGTCACCACTCCCAGGAATCTGTAGCATTGAATTATGGTGGCTTGTGAAACTACAACTCCCAGGAATCTGTAGTACTGAATTATAGTGCCTTGCCAAAGTACCTCCTAGGATTCCTTACTGCGAAGTTTCTCGTCAAACTACAACTCTCAGGAATCCATAGCTTTGAGTCATGGCAGTTCATTTTGCAGCGTAAGATGCTCTCTCCTTGTGAACTAGACTGTATTCTGGTTTGCTCTGTCTATTAAACATCCTAATAAATAATAATAATAATAATAATAATAATAATATAAATAATGTCACTATATTTTGCAATAATAACAACACATTATTATAATTATTATATACATAATGTAAGTATATTTTGCCCTCATCCTTCCCTTCCCTCTGCTCAATTCCAGATTATGCTGAAGATCGACAGAGAAGGAGGGCGCCTGGAACGTCCGGCCGATTGTCCGAGGGCGATTTACGCTTTGGCCCTAAAATGCTGGGCCCACAATCCGGAGGAGAGACCCCACTTTCGGGAAATTGTGAACCTTTTGCAGGAGGTAAGAGAGAGAAGAATACTACTAACAATCGGTATTCCCCTTCGGACTACAACTCCCATCATGTAGGGGTCCGGGGCCCTCCCTCCAGGTGTTTTGGACTGCAACTCCCACCATTCCTAACAGCCTCAGGCCCTTTCCTTTTCCCCCTCAGCCGCTTAAGCGGCTGAGGGGGAAAAGGAAGGGGCCTGAGGCTGTTAGGAATGGTGGGAGTTGCAGTCCAAAACACCAGGAGGACCTAAGTTGTCCCATTCCTGGTGTAGATGCAAAAGAGTGCTAATAATCATCATCATCTCAAACGATCCAATGTAAACAAGGTTTGAGTGCAGAAAAATGGAAGCAATTGAGTAGGCAGATCCGGCTTCTCCACTTTCCCCCCCAAAGCCATGTTCCCCCCTATTTAATAAAGGGGGGGTGGGGGTGTTATAAAATATTCTCTTTTGAAACGAACAATAAAATATTTAAGACGAAGCGTTCCCTCCAATGCCTACGCTCCTCCTACATTATTTCTCAAAGTTATGTAATGGGTAAACTTTTTTTTTTATGTAAGACTATACATAACTATTTCCGGTTACTGTTTCTCCATCCTTGGGAAATGAATGCTTGGAACAACAGTCATGTTCCCAACAGTCGGGGATTCTGGGAGCTGAAGTCCAAAGTCTCTAGAAGACCTCTCATTGGCCTTCGATACCATTTTTAACTGTTTATTTTTATTGTTAGTATTGGTTTTTGCCAAAATTGTAAGCCACCTTGAGTCCCTTCGGATGAGAAAGGCAGGGTAGAAACGTTGACCATTTCCGCTCCCTTGGCAGCCACCTCTCCACAAAAGTCAACACTGACACTGGAATACAACACCGCTTGAGCTCTGCGAGTGAAGAATTTTTCCAAATGAAGCAGAGAGTGTTTGAAGACCGAGACATCTGTAGGGAGACCAAGAGGCTTGTTTATAAAGCTATTGTCCTCCCAACCCTGCTATACGCCTGCGAGACGTGGACTGTCTACAGATGTCAACATTGACACTGAATTCATCACCACCTGAACTCTGCAAGTGCAGCATTTTTCCAAATGAAGCAGAGAGTGTTTAAGGACCGGGACATCCATAGGGATACCAAGGTGCTTGTTTATAAAGCTTTTTCCTCCCAACCCTGCTATATGCCTACAAAACATGGACTGTCTACAGATGCCAACATTGACACTGAATTCAGCACCACCCGAGCTCTGCGAGTGCAGCATTTTTCCAAATGAAGCAGAGAGTGTTTGAAGATCGGGACATCCATAGGGATACCAAGGTGCTTGTTTATAAAGCTATTTTCCTCCCAACCCTGCTATATGCCTGTGAGATGTGGACTGTCTACAGATGTCATCATTGACACTGAATTCAGCACCACCTGAACTCTGCAAGTGCAGCATTTTTCCAAATGAAGCAGAGAGTGCTTGAGGACCGGGAGATCCGTAGGGATACCAAGGTGCTTTTTTATAAAGCTATTTTCCTCCCAACCCTGCTATATGCCTGTGAGATGTGGACTGTTTACAGACGTCAACATTGACACTGAATTTAGCACCACCTGAGCTCTGCAAGTGCAGCATTTTTCCAAATGAAGCAGAGAGTGTTTGAGGATCGGGACATCCGTAGGGATACCAAGGTGCTTGTTTATAAATCTATTTTCCAACCTTGTTATATGGCTGTGAAACATGGACTGTCTACAGACGTCACATGCAACTCCTGGAACAATTCCATCAGCGTTGCCTCCAAAAAATCCTGCAAATCTTTTGGAAGACAGGTGAACAAATGTAAGTGTGCTAGAAGAAGCAAAGACCAAGCTTGTTTTCTGCTTCCTTGGAGACTAGGATGCGGAACAATGGCTTCAAACTACAAAAGAGGAGATTCCATCTGAACATGAGGAAGAACTTCCTGACTGTGAGAGCCGTTCAACAGTGGAACTCTCTGCCCTGGAGTGTGGTGGAGGCTCCTTCTTTGGAAGCTTTGAAACAGAGGCTGGATGGCCATCTGTCGGGGGTGATTTGAATGCAATATTCCTGCTTCTTGGCAGGGGGTTGGACTGGATGGCCCATGAGGTCTCTTCCAACTCTTTGATTCTATGATTCTATTATTCTACCACTAGCACTGAAGCCTGCGAGACGTGGACGGTCTACAGATGTCAACATTGACACTGAATTCAGCACCACCTGAACTCTGCAAGTGCAGCATTTTTCCAAATGAAGCAGAGAGTGCTTGAGGACCGAGAGATCCGTAAGGATACCAAGGTGCTTGTTTATAAATCTATTTTCCTCCCAACCTTGTTATATGGCTGTGAAACATGTACTGTCTACAGACGTCACATGCAACTCCTGGAACAATTCCATCAGCGTTGCCTCCGAAAAATCCTGCAAATCTTTTGGAAGACAGGTGAACAAATGTAAGCGTGCTAGAAGAAGCAAAGACCACCAGCACTGAAGCGATGGTCCTCCACCAGGAACTCCGCTGGACCTGCCACGTTGTCCGAATGCTCAAAGATCACTGTCTCCTTTTGTGGAGATGTGGCTGCCAAGGGAGCGGAAATGGTCAATGTTTGCGTATCAGCCAGCACGTCAACGACTTAAATCTAGAAATAGTTTTCTAAGATCTACAGAGACACTCGCTGGAACACCTCAGCAAGCAAGAGTCCAAAAGTGGCAGGCTCAAACCCAGCACCTCAACCAATGGCTGATACCAAATGAGAGACTCCCTCCTGGGCACACAGAAGACTGGGCGACTTGGAAGGCACTGAACAGATTGCGCTCTGGCACCACGAGATGCAGAGCCAACCTTCAGAAATGGGGCTACAAAGTGGAATCCTCGACATGCGAGTGTGGAGAGGAGCAAACCACTGACCACCTGCTGCGATGCAACTTGAGCCCTGCTACATGCACCATGGAGGACCTTCTTGCAGCAACACCAGAGGCACTCCAAGGGGCCAGATACTGGTCAAAGGACATTTAACCAACTACCAAACTCACAAGTTTTGTATTTGTCTGTTTGTTTGTTTGCTTTGTTCTGTTAGAAATGTAATATAAGTGACTGGTTGTTCTGACACGCAAAACAAAACAAAAAAAACTGTCTCCCAAAGTTGATCTATTCTGAACTCAAGAATGGAAAACGCAATGTTGGTGGACAGGAAAAGAGATTGAAAGATGGGCTCAAAGCCAACCTTAAAAACTCTGGCATAGACACTGAGAACTGGGAAGCCCTGGCCCTTGAGCACTCCAACTGGAGGTCAGCTGTGACCAGCAGTGCTGCAGAATTTGAAGAGGCACGAATGGAGGGCGAAAGAGAGAAACATGCCAAGAGGAAGAAGGCACATCAAGCCAACCTGGCCTGGACCGCCTTCCACCTGGAAACTGATCCCCTCACTGCGGGAGAAGATGCAGGTCAAGAATAGGGCTCCATAGTCACCTACGGACCCACCGCCAGAACCACAAACTTGGAAGACTATCCTACTCGGACAACAAGGGATCGCCTAAGTAAGTAAGAAAGGAAGGATGATGGGAGGTGTAGTCCTATGCAACCTGAAGGTCATGGGTTAGTAAGGATTGAGCTAATAGTACTAGGTTACATAGAGTATGGAGCCCCCAGTGGCGCAGTGGGTTAAAGCACTGAGCTGCTGAGCTTGTTGATCGAAAGGTCGCAGGTTCGATTCCGGGGAGCGGCGTGAGCTTCCGCTGTCAGCCCTAGCTTCTGCCAACCTAGCAGTTCAAAAACATGCAAATGTGAGTAGATCAATAGGTACCGCTTCGGCAGGAAGGTAACGGCGCTACATGCAGTCATGCCGGCCACATGACCTTGGAGGTGTCTACGGACAACGCTGGCTTTTCGGCTTAGAAATGGAGATGAGCACCACACCCTAGAGTCAGACATGACTGGACTTAATGTCAGGGGACTACCTTTACCTACATAGAGTATTCCAAATCCTATTATTTTTGTATTGTCGAAGGCTTTCATGGCTGGAATCACTAGGTTCTTGTGGGTTTTTCCCCCGAAAAAACCCACAAGAACCTACCTATTATTTTTGTTGGACTACACTCCCCATCATCTTTGGCTTCACCAAGGTACAACTTCCAGCATTCCACAGCATCAACCCATAGCAATAAAAGTGGAATCAAACAGGGTTACTGTGAGTTTTCCGGGCTATCTGGCCATATTCCAGAAGCATTCTCTCCTGACGTTTCACCCACATCTACGGCAGGCATCCTTAAAGGTTGTGAGGTCTGTTAGAAACCAGCAAGTTGGGTTTATATATCTGTGGAGAAGATGCAGGTCAAGAATAGGGCCCACTGTCAAGACACCGAACTTGGAGGACAATCTTACACGGACAACGAGGGGTCGCCTGATGAATGAGAAACAAAATTAATAGATAAATAATGCAAGAATCTCTGTTTACAACTATACTGCAGGATTGATGCAGTTTGGCCTCACAGTGGCTAGGGAATCCTGGGAACTGTAGTTTGGGGAGTAACTTTTGCATTAACCTTCTGCTGCCTGCCTTCTTTCCAGCTCCGTCCAAAGGAAGTCAAGGCTTTGCAGGAGTTGAATGAGCCCGGCTGGCTGCGGCTGGAGGCCAATGACGCCATCACGGTTATCGAAGGCAGGTGAGAGTGTGGATGATGGGACTTGTTTCCATCCCAGCCTTGGAAGCCCATCGCTAGCATAGTGTTTGTCTCTTTGCACCTTCTTTCCCTTGGCCTGGTTTCCCTTGCTTAGCTAATATTACCCTTAGTTATGTATTAACTCTTAGACTAGAAGAATATTGTAATATTCTATTCTAACATATATTACATTTGGGTTGCTGTGAGTTTTCCAGGCTTGTCTGGTCATGTTCGAGAAGCATTCTCTCCTGACATTTCGCCTGCATGTAGACAATGTCAACAGAAAGAATGTCAACAGGTTTCAATGTCAACAGGTTTCAATGACTTCTCTGTGTAGTCTGACACAACAGCTAACACCTCCCAACAAAGGATTCCTCCAGGCAGGAAGCAGCCAGGCTTTGAAGCTCCAAGGCTATTCAATGCTAATCAAGCTGGCTAGTTGCAGCATTCAAAGTTTTGGTGTCATACTGTTGAAGGCTTTCATGGCCGGAATCACTGGGTTGTTGTGAGTTTTCCGGGCTCTCTGTCCACGTTCCAGAAGCATTCTCTTCTGACGTTTCGTCCACATCTATGGTAGGCACCCTCAGAGGTTGTGAGGCCTGTTGGTAACGAGGCAAGTGGGGTTTATATACCTGTCCAGGGTGGGAGAAAGAACTCTTGTTTGCTTGAGGCAAGTGTGAACAGTGCAATTGGCCAACAGGGAAAATCCAGACAGGAAACACTCCGGGCCAGCTAACACCTCCCAACAAAGGATTCCCCAGGCAGGAAGCAGCCAGGCTTTGAAACTGCAAGGACATTTGATGCTAATCAAGGTGGCCAATTGCAACATTGACACCTCAAACAAACAAGAGTTTGTTCTCCTACACAATCTCTCAGGATGCCTGCCATAGATGTGTGTGAAAGGTCAGGAGAGAATGCTTCTGGAACATGGCCAGACAGCCCAGAAAACTCACAGCAACGTAGTAATAACAAATTAATAGTAATAATATTTTTAACAACACCACCATGTAACAAAATTAGAAAAACAAAATCTGTTCCTGGTTTGAAAGTGTTATTCCTGTTTAATTGTACTTTGAAAGTGGTTGTTATACTCCAGAAACTTTGCTTTTTGTGTCACAAACTATATCGAATAGCTTGAGACTGTATAAGATATTCACTATAGCAAAATGTGCTGTAGCAAAATGTCCTTTCCATAGAAACATACTATTTGCAGCTTAATAAACATTTCCCTTGCTTTTCATGATAGAACCAATTGGGAAATCACAGAAACAAAAAAATGTGATATAATATAATAATATTTCCAGTTTGTTGAATTTAAGTTTGTGTTTTTGGAATTTTCACAGTTCAGAGTAGTTCTCTGCCTTCCCACTTTTTCAAAACGCCCCGGTTTCTCTTTCCCGCTTTCCTCCTTGGTCCTCAGCTTGCTTCAATTGCTGCAGATTGATCTCAAAGTGCCAAAGGAGTACTTTTCCAATCTTCTTCCTCCTCTTTCCAATTCTGCTTCCAGTCCTGACTCGTCCACATGGAGAGGGCAGAACAAGCGGACCCTGAAAGTGGGCATCTTCCCATCATCCATTGTGGCAGCCGTGGAGGAAACTGCGCCCCCTGGTGGGGCTCCCCGGATCAGCCTCCCCATCCGGAGCTCCTTTGTCCATTTAGGCCACGGGGACATTGACCCTGAAAGGGCCTGGGGATCCCCCGAACGCATGGAGGAGTAAGTGCGCAACGTCCATCATAGCTTGACCAGAGAAATGCTGCGACAAAAATAGCTAACACAGGCTAACTTGAGCCCTCCCTCCAGGTGTTTTGGACCAACTCCTATCTATCTGTCACTTTTCTCTCTTGTCTGTCTGTCTGTCTGTCTATCTATCTATCTGCCAACCCACCCACCTACCTACCTTTCTCTCTCTCTATCACCTTTCTCTCTCTTCTATCTATCTATCTATCTATCTATCTATCTATCTATCTATCTATCTATCTATCTATCTATCTATCACCTTTCTCTCTCTTCTATCATCTATCTATCTATCTATCTATCTATCTATCTATCTATCTATCTATCTATCTATCTATCCCACCTACCTACCTAACTACCTTTCTCTCTCTTCTACCTACCTACCTTTCTCTTTTGTACACACCTTTTGCTCTCTTCTTTCTTTCTTTCTTTCTTTCTTTCTTTCTTTCGTTCTTTCTTTCTTTCTTTCTTTCTGTCTATCTACCCACCCACTCACCTACTTACCTACCTACCTTTCTCTCTCTCTCTCTCTGTCACCTGCCTACTGATCTATCTATCTATCTATCTATCTATCTATCTATCTATCTATCTATCTATCTATCTATCTATCTATCTATTTCTATCTATCTATATCATCTATCTATCTATCTATCTATCTATCTATCTATCTATCTATCTATCTATCTATCTATCTATCTATCTACCCACCCACCCACCCACCCACCTACCTACCTTTGTCCCTCTCTCTCTCTATCACCTTTCGCTCTCTTCTATCTATCTGTCTGTCTGTCTGTCACCTTTCTCTCTTCTATCTACGTCCCTACCCACCTTTCTCTCTCACACACACCTTTCACTCTCATCCATCTATATCTATCTATCTCTCTCTCTCTATCTATCTATCTATCTATCTATCTATCTATCTATCTACCCACCTACCTACCTTCTCTCTCTCTCTATCACCTTTCGCTCTCTTCTATCTGTTTGTCTGTCTGCCTGTCTGTCACCTTTCTCTCTCTTCTATCTACGTACCTACCCACCTTTCTCTCTCACACACCTTTCACTCTCATCCATCTCTCTCTCTCTCTCTCTCTCTCATCTTTCTTTCTGTCTATCACCTTTCTTATCTATCTATCTATCTATCTATCTATCTATCTATCTATCTATCTACCCACCTACCTTTTCTCTCTCTCTATCTATCACCTTTCGCTCTCTTCTATCTATCTGTCTGTCTGTCTGTCTGTCTGCCTGTCTGTCACCTTTCTCTCTCTTCTATCTACGTACCTACCCACCTTTCTCTCTCACACATCTTTCTATCATCTATCTATCTATCTATCTATCTATCTATCTTATCTATCTATCTATCTATCCCACCTACCTACCTAACTACCTTTCTCTCTCTTCTACCTACCTACCTTTCTCTTTTGTACACACCTTTTCTCTCTCTCTATCTATCACCTTTCGCTCTCTTCTATCTATCTGTCTGTCTGTCTGTCTGTCTGTCTGTCTGTCACCTTTCTCTCTCTTCTATCTACGTACCTACCTACCTTTCTCTCTCTCACACACCTTTCACTCTCATCCATCTCTCCCTCTATCTATCTATCTATCTATCTATCTATCTATCTATCTATCTATCTATCTATCTATCTATCTCCTTTCTTTCTCTTCTATCTATCTGCCCACCTACCTACCTTTCTCTCTCTATCACCTTTCGCGCTCTTCTATCTATCTACCTTTCTCTCTCACACACACCTTTTGCTCTTATCTATCTCTCTATTTCCTTTCTCTCTCTGCTATCTATCCAGTTATCTCTCTCTCTCTCCATCATCTACCTACCTACCTTTCTTTCTCTGTATCTCTCTATCACCTTTCACTCCTATCTATCTACCTTCCTACCTACCTACCTATCCATCCTTCTTTCTCTCCCACTCTCTTTCATCTGTTTTTCTATCTATCTGCTGGAATTCCATGAGATCCTGGGAGCTGTGGCTTGGCAAGGCACCAGGATGGCCGTTAGGAATTACAGTCCAAAACACCTGCAGAGCCCAAGTTTTCTCACACCTGGGCTAACAACATTCTTCTTCCCATCCATGGGAATGATGAATAGATAGTTAATTCCCATGAAATTTGGTCCATTAAAACAAATAATAATGTGAGTGTTTTCTACCCCAGGAAAAAAGGGAAGCCACGATCAGGGAACGCCAGCCCACAGAACCCAACCAAAGGCCAGCAGTTGCTACAATTGGCACGTAAGTAACAACTCCCTTTGGATATCAATTCCCATCATCCTCATCATTGATGGGAGTTGTAGTTCACCAAGTTCATTTTGGGAGGAAGGCGAAAGGAAGCCAGTTGTGACATCCATTACCCCTTTTGCCACTGCCACATGCAGTTCTGGATTACAGCTATTATTATTATTATTATTATTATTATTATTATTATTATTATTATGTTTATGTTTATGTTTATGTTTATTTATACCTTGCTAAACCAGTTGTGACATCTGTCATCCCATGACCACTGCTGTGCAATTCTGGACTATTATTATTATTATTATTATTATTATTATTATTATTATGTTTATGTTTATTTATACCCCACTAAGAAACTGAAATTGGCATTTTGGTACAAGAAAGCAGTGGATGATGGGAGTTGTAGTCAACATCCCTGGCTGGAGCAGAAAAAGGGATAGGAAAGTTGTTCTGACTTGCTATGCTCATGATTATGAATGTTAATATTCTGCTTTTATCTCAAGTCGAGTGTTCTGGACTACAGCTCCTATCATCCTAAAAAAGGGTTGTGGTTGATGGGATATGCAGTCAACATCCCTGACTGGAGTAGGGGTCAGGAGAAGAAAACTGTTTTGATCTGCTGTACCTGCTGCAGTATGGTCTATATAGTTCTGGACCACAACTCCCATCATTGCCAGGTAGAGTTTATGGGATATGTAGTCAGCATATCTGGAAAGAGCAAGGAGGAGGAGAGGAAGATTATTTGATCATGCTGTCTTGCCTACCATTTTGGATTACAACACCCATAAACTCTGTTTGGCAATGATGGGAGTTGTAGTCCAGAAAGGTAGACTAGACAGCATACAAGTACAGCAGATCAGAACAATGTTCCTCTTTTTGTCCTTGCTCTTTCCAGAGATGCTGACTACATATCCCATCAACTCCCATCATCACCAGAGTTGATGGGAATTGTAGTTAGCATCCTTGGATAGACCAGGTACATTTAGGGAGAAGGGAGAGAAAGGAAAGCATTGGGACATCCTGCAATACTGTATTCAATGCAATCCGGCCTGTGCCATTCTGGACTACAACTCCCACTATCCTCAAACCAGAGTGCTGTGGTTGATAGGAGACGTAGTCAGCCTCCCTGCCTGAACCAGACTCTTTTTTGGGAGGAGGGAAAGGAAGCCAGCCTGTTTTAATTGTTTTGTGTCTCTCCCCATCAGGCCTCTCCAAAAGCCTGGAGTCCATTTCGGATTTCAGCATCCTTCGCGCCAAGCCCAAGTTCCCTCCCTGCAAGGCCGAACGGCCCGGTGCCAACGCCCAGCGGCGTTTCAGCGACCTGCCACCCCCAATGCCACCACCGCCGCCCCCAGAGCCCCATCGCCTGCCCAAACTGCCCCCACGTGTCCCCAACCCGGCTCTGCCCACCTGGGCGCTCCCCAAATCCGAGGCTCCGGGAACCCGAGAGAAAGAGGCGGCAAGGACCCAAAGACCGCCGGCGGTCAAAGGCGTGTTGGCATTGCCCCCGGCTCCTTCCAGCGGGCAGAGGCCCACCCTGGGAGACATCGAGAAGAAGGTCAAGGAGGTAAGGATGCAACCCTTATGTTGGAGAGGGTCCCCAAAGGCCATCTAGTCCAACCCCATTCCGCTATGCAAGAATACACGACTTTTTGAAATTATCCCATCCAACCTAACATTTGGACACTCCCTTCCAAGAGATTTCTCTGCTACCATTTCTCAGGCAGATAGAATTCTAGGAGCTTTGGAGGGTGTCCCAAAAGGCCATCTAGTTCATCCCCATTCAGAAAAACACAACTAAAGCATTCCTGAAAGAGGGTCATCCAAACTGAAGGTGGAGAGTCCACATTCCACCTTCAGATAGGTTTTTACTAATAACAAGCTCTTCCCACTAATGTTTAGCTTGAATATCTTTTCTTGCCATTTGGATCCATTGGTTCGTCTCCTAGTTTCTGGAGCACCAGAAAAAAAGCTTGATTCATCTTCCATATGATATCGCTTTTATATAATTTAATCTGGTTCTCAAATCACCCCTCAATCTTGACTCTATGTGAGAGGAAGCCACAGGGAGGAGGAGGGAGCAAACTTGTTTTCTGATTCCATGGAGATTAGGACGTGGAACAATGGCTTCAAACTACAAGAGAGGAGATTCCATCTGAACATGAGGAAGAACTTCCTGACTGTGAGAGCCGTTCAGCAGTGGAACTCTCTGCCCCGGAGTGTGGTGGAGGCTCCTTCTTTGGAAGCTTTTAAACAGAGGCTGGATGGCCATCTGTCAGGGGTGATTTGAATGCAATATTCCTGCTTCTTGGCAGAATGGGGTTGGACTGGATGGCCCATGAGGTCTCTTCCAACTCTTTGATTCTATGATTCCATCATATCAAGATCTTTTTGGGTTGTTGTATGTGAGGTCTCACAGCCTCTGTGGGATGTGAGGTCTCACAGCCTCTGAGGATGCTTGCCATAGATGCAGGCGAAACGTCAGGAGAGAATGCCTCTAAGAACATGGCCATATAGTCCGAAAAAACCTACAACAACCCAGTGATTCCACGAATGGACCAGATCCCATATGATCTTGGAAGCTAAGCAGGGCCAGCCCTAGTTAAGCCTTGGAGGGGAGACCACCAATTAACCTCAGGTGCCTTGACTGTATTTCATAGGAAAGAACTGGCCAAACCTCTCTGGCACTCAAAATTAACGTGATCCCCACCAGATCAACAGGCAACTTGAAGCAGCAGAGCTACCACAATGCAGTTTTCACCCTCTGAGAAAGTACCAAATCCCATCTGATCTTGGAAGCTAAGCAGGGTCAGGCCTGGTTAGGAGTCGAATGGGAGAACGCCAGTTGACATAGAGCCGTACACGTAAAAGGTCTTTGGGGACAGTTTCATAATGTGAAATATTGTTTATATTTTTTAAAGCTTGCTTTTAACTGCTTATGTAGCTTAGAATCATAGGGCCATCCAGTCCAACCCCATTCTGCCAAGAAGCAGGAATATTGCATCCAAAGCACCCCTTACAGATGGCCATCCAGCCTCTGTTCAAAAGCTTCCAAAGAAGGAGCCTCTACCACATTCCAGGGCAGAGAGTTCCACGGCTGAACAGCTCTCACAGCCAGGAAGTTCTTCCTCACGTTCAGGTGGAATCTCCTTTCTTGTAGTTTGAAGCCATTGTTCCGCGTCCTAGTCTCCAGGGAAGCAGAAAACAAGCTTGCTCCCTCCTCCCTATGACTTCATTTCATGTATTTATACATGGCCATCATATCTCCTCTCAGCCTTCTCTTCTTCAGGCTAAACATGCCCAGCTCCTTGAGCCGCTCCTCATAGGGCTTGTTCTCCAGACCCTTGATCATTTGAGTCGCCCTCTTCCTCTGGACACATTCCAGCTTGTCAATATCTCTCTTGAATTGTGGTGCCCAGAATTGGACACAATATTCCAGGTGTGGTCTAATCACACCTGGAATATTGTGTCCAATTCTGTTTTTAATTTGTGCATAATATGCATTTTCAAGCAACATGTGTTCTTGTCTTGAATTATACTGACGTTTTGCCCACTTAGGTGGAAGAGCGGGTGCATGGGTCCACAACAGAGGAATGCCGCGAGGCCTTGAGGTTGCATGGCTGGGATGTCCAAAAAGCTGCTCAGATGCTCAAGGTACCAACTTTCGTATGGGACGGGTGAGGTCTATGTCTCTGATTCCAGCTCAGCATAGGATTCAAGAGTGCCTCTACACCAGGGGTAGGGAACCTTCAGCCCTCCAGGTGTGGTGGACTTCAACTCCCACAATTCCTTGAGGCTCGTGTAAGCCTTTGGGGCGAATGCCGAGCCTCAAGGAATTGTGGGAGTTGAAGTCCACCACACCTGGAGGGCCGAAGGTTCCCTACCCCTGCTCTACACTAAAGAACACATGCAGTTTGACCCCGCTTTGAACTGCCTTGGCTCCTTGACGTGGAATCCAAGGAGTTGTCATTTGACAAGGCCTTTTTCCTTCTCTACCAAAAAGGGCTGGGGACTCACAAAACTCCATCTTAAATTATGCCTGTGCCAAGAGGACGATGCCATTGACTTCACCAGTTTCTTTAATTCCTGGAAATTTTCTGATCACTATCAGCCCATTGGTTCCCAAACTGGCACTGGTCAAGTGCTGAAAAGCTTGTATGGTCAGGAAGTTCTTCCTAATGTCCAGCATTTCCTTATGTTGCTGATTTAGATCCAGTGATCCTTTCTACGGACTGCAAAGCCATCAAACTGTAAAGTCTGCCAACTGCGAAGATTACACAAATATTATTTATATCCCACCCTATCTCCCCATAAAGACTCGGGACGGTCTGGTGAGGCACCAGCACTCAAAACTAATTCAGTAATTCGTTATGTTGCAGATTTAGATCCAGCAATTCTTTCTATAAACTGTAAAGTCTGTCAACTGCGAGGATTACACAAAGGGCCCTTCAACACAGCTGTATAAAATCCACTTTGAACTGGATTATTTGGCAGTGTGGACTCCAATAACCTAGGGCCCCTTCCACACAGCCATATAACCCAGAATATCACCTCCTTTGTTCTCCATAATGCAGTTTTCCAAGTTTCCTTTTTGGTATGGTGCCTTCAGGACCAGTACTTAATAGGCCCTAGCAAGACCCCAAACATACAAGCCATTTAATCTGTTCTTGGAGTTGTAGTTTGGTGAGCCACTCACCCTCTTTGGCAGAAAAGGCCAAACTACAGCTCCCAGGACTCTAGATCCTTGAGCCATGGCAGTCCAAGGGGTGCCAAACTGCATTCATAATGGGTTGTTGTAGGTTCTTCTGGGCTATATGGCCATGTTCTAGAGGCATTTTCTCCTTGTCCACATGCTTGTGGATTTCAATGGCTTCTCTGTGTAGTTTGTGTAGCATGTGGACAATTTCAACAGAAAGAAGAAAACCATGAAAATGAACAAAATCTGGCTACCAGTATTAAAAAAAACTCTAAAATCACAACAGCACAACAACAGAGAGGAAACAAACAAGGACATCTAATCACCTCTCAACAAAGGATTATTCCAGGCACTGCCAGGCAATCAAATGTTAATCAAGGTGATCAGTTGAAACATTCACACCTAGCTCCAGCAGGCAAGACTCCTTTGTCCCACTCTGGTCATTCCACAGATATATAAACCCTTTTTCCTACTTCCAACAGACCTCACTACCTCTGAGGATGCTTGCCATAGATGCAGGTGAAACGTCAGGAAAAAAATGCCTTTTACATGGCCATATAGCCCAAAAAAACCTACAAGAACCCAATACAATTAATATAAATCACATAATAATAATAATAATAATAATAATAATAATACTTTATTTATACCCCGCCACCATCTCCCCAAGGGACTCGGAGCGGCTTACATGAGGCCAAGCCCAACAACACATCAATAAAACACAAAAGCAACAAACAAAAACAATACAATTAATATGACTCACATATAATAATAATAATAATAATAATAATAATAATAATAATAATAATATTTATACCCCGCCACCATCAAGAAAGACAAAAACAAGAAAGCAATAAACAAAACAATACAATTAATATTTATTATTTTTATTTGTCATGTCAGGGCAACCAGTCAATTGTATTACATTTCTAAAAGAACAAAACAAACAGACAGACAAAACACAAAATTTGCAAACTTGGTAGTTAGTTAAATGTCCTTTGACCAGTCTCTGGCCCCTTGGAATGCTTCTGGTGTTGCTACAAGAAGATTCTCCCTTGTGCATGTGGCTGGGCTCAGGGTGCATTGCAGCAGGTGGTCAGTGGTTTGCTCTTCTCCGCACTCGCATGTCGTGGATTCTACTTTGTGGCTCCATTTCTTGAGGTTGGCTCTACGTCTCGTGGTGCTAGAGCGCAGTCTGTTCAACGCCTTCCAAGTCGCCCAGTCTTCTGTGTGCCCAGGGGGGAATCTCTCATTTGGTATCAGCCATTGGTTGAGGTTCTGGGTTTGAGCCTGCCACTTTTGGACTCTCGCTTGCTGGGGTGTTCCAGCGAGTGTCTCTGTAGATCTTAGAAAACTATTTCTTGATTTAAGTTGTTGACGTGCTGGCTGATACCCAAACAAGGGATGAGCTGGAGATGTCACTGCCTTGGTCCTTTCACTATTGGCTGCTACTTCCCGGTGGATGTCAGGTGGTGCAATACCGGCTAAACAGTGTAATTTCTCCAGTGGTGTAGGGCGCAGACACCCCGTGATAATGCAGCATGTCTCATTAAGAGCCACATCCACTGTTTTAGCGTGGTGAGACGTGTTCCACACTGGGCATGCATACTCAGCAGCAGAGTAGCATAGCGCAAGGGCAGATGTCTTCACTGTGTCTGGTTGTGATCCCCAGGTTGTGCAAGTCAGCTTTTGTATGATATTGTTTCTAGCACCCACTTTTTGCTTGATATTCAGGCAGTGCTTCTTGTAGGTCAGAGCAGAGTGAATCCCAGGTATTTGGGTGTGCTGCAATAATCCAGTGGGATTCCTTCCCATGTCATCCTCAGAGCTTGGGATGCTTGTCTGTTCTTGAGATGAAAAGCACATGTCTGTGTTTTAGATGGGTTAGGGATCAGCTGGTTTTCCCTCTAGTAGGCAGTAAGGGCACCTAGAGCTTCGGAGAGCTTCTGTTCTCAAAGCTTCTGTTCTCAAAGCTCCCTGCTTGAGCAGTAATGGCACGATCATCAGCATAGATGAAGCTCTCTGTCCCTTCTGGCAGTGGCTGGTCATTTGTGTAGATGTTGAACGTGGATGGAGCAAGCACGCTCCCCTGAGGCAGGCCGTTCTTCTGTTTCTGCCATCTGCTTCTCTGGCCCTGGAACTCAACAAACAAGCTCCTGTTTTGTAGCAGGTTTCCTATGAGGCGGGTGAGGTGGTTAATATAAATCACAATTAACATAAATCACATATAAACAATAACCAATAAACAATAACACACAAAGATTTAAAAACCATTCATTCTCTGGTGTAGATGCCTCTTCTGTCGTTTTCTATCCTGATTGATGACAGTGTTTCTCCTTTCTCGCAGGTGGACCAGCTCTTCCACTTGAGTTCCTTCTCACGTGAAGAGTGCCGACGAATCCTCGAAAAGCACCGCTGGAACCTGGCCATGGCCTCCCGCTACGTCCTCAGCCGCGGCCTCCGAGCGTAACCCTCTGGAAACAGGCCCAAACAGTGCTGAATGTCCAAGTCTTCCAAGGAGAAGAGAGGTCTAGTTGTCCTCTTGGTGTGTGGATGGAGCCCAAGGCAAGCAGGAAGAGTATCTATATGTCCATCTCTTAGTACTGCAACATCCATAAGCGAACCATTCCTTGCTCAGTCCCAGAACTTTGCTTGACTCTGGCATCCAATTCAAGTGGAACCTTTGATCCACATTTGCCGCAGTTTGGTTGTGGGTGTGAGACCGAAATGGACACCATCGGGAAGGAGAAATCTCCCAGGATTTTATTTACTTTGGGGGAATTAAAGTGGACCATGCAGTTTCCATCCCCAGCCTTGCAAATATAGTCAGAACTCTCCAGGTGTGTCTACACTGTAGAATTAATGCAGGTTAACACTACTTTTCCTGCCATGGCTCAGTGTTATAGTTTGCTGAGGACTCAGCACTCTTTGATAGAGAAGACTAAACTTCAACTCCCGGGTTTCAGTAGCATCGAGCCATGGCAATACTGAACTCATTAGAGCAGGCCAGGTGTTTTGGACTCCAACTCCCACAATTCAACTCCCAAATTCTAATCATAATATTCATAACATGAATTAAAGGAGTGTATTAACTCAGGCATGGGCCAACTTGGGCCCTCCAGGTGTTTTGGACTCCAACTCCCACATCTATGGCAGGCATCCTCAGAGGTTTGTTAGAGACTAGGCAAGTCGGGTTTATATATATTCCTGTGGAATGAATTCCAGGGTGGGAGAAACTCTCATCTGTGGGAGGCAAGTGTGAATTTTGCAATTGGCCACCTTGATGAGCATTGAATGGACTTGCAGCTTCAAAGACAGGCTGATTGTTGCCTGGGGGAATGCTTTGTTGGGAGGTGTTAGCTGGCCCAGATTGTTTATGTGTGGAATAATGTCCGGGGTAGGAAAAAGAACTCTTTGTCTGTTGGAAGTGGGAATGTTGCAGTTGGCCACCTTGATAAGCATCCAATGGCCTTGCAGCTTCAAAGCCTGGATGCTCCCTGCCTGTGGGAAGAGTTCTTTCTCCCACCCTAGACATTACTCCACAGATATATATTTTGGAGGCAGGTGTGAATGTTGCAACTGGCCACCTTGATTAGCATTCAATGGCCTTGCAGCTTCAAAGCCTGGCTGTTTCATGCCTGGGGTAAGAGTTCTTTCTCCCAGCCTAGATATTATTTCACAGATATATGTTGGAGGCAGGTGTGAATGTTGCCATTGGCCACCTTGATTAGCATTCAATGGCCTTGCAGCTTCAAAGCCTGGATGCTCCCTGCCTGTGGGAAGAGTTCTTTCTCCCACCCTAGACATTATTCCATGGATTTATATGTTGGAGGCAGGTGTGAATGTTGCAACTGGCCACCTTGATTAGCATTCAATGGCCTTGTAGCTTCAAAGCCTGGCTGCTTCATGCCTGGGGTAAGAGTTCTTTCTCCCAGCCTAGATATTATTTCACAGATATATGTTGGAGGCAGGTGTGAATGTTGCCATTGGCCACCTTGATTAGCATTCAATGGCCTTGCAGCTTCAAAGCCTGGATGCTCCCTGCCTGTGGGAAGAGTTCTTTCTCCCACCCTAGACATTACTCCACGGATTTATATGTTGGAGGCAGGTGTGAATGTTGCAACTGGCCACCTTGATTAGCACTGAATGGCCTTGTAGCTTCAAGGTCTGGCTGCTTACTGCCTGTTTATATACCTATATATATATGTCAGGAGAGAATGCCTCCAGAAAACTCACAGCAACCCAATAGTAATATGGTTAACTTTCCCCTCCAATCCCAGTATCCCAGCCCTATACACCCACCATCATGGGATACCTGCGATGGGGGACGGCTAACAGCACCAGGCTGTGCTAGAAGTGATACTTGTTTGCGGTTTCATAGAGCTGGAAAAGACAGATACATTATCCTTTCTTAAAAATTGCTACTAAGTAGTTAAGAGACATCTGTTTTGCAAGGCAGGTGCCCTGGATTCCAGTCGTTGGCACCACAGTTTTAGAGCTCGAGGACCACATCCAAGAGCCATTGCAAATCTGCATATATATAGACAGAGTGGACAGCAGTCAGTGGTTAGGAATTGTGGGAGTTGAAGTCCAAAACACCTGGAGGGCCCAAGTTGGCCCATGCCTGCTCTAGAGTGCAGCTGCACCCAAAGGATCTCAATGCCTCCATCTTTGGACCTGTGCACCAAACGAAGCCTTGCTTTTCCATAAAGGACCTTTCTTGTTGTATGTATAGAATCAGCTACAGGTCTTCTATCCTAGGTTTTATGGACCAGAGTTTTCCAGAAGCTTGCCATGCTTTTCCTCTGAGGCTGAGAGAGTGTGCTCATTTCCTTTTTGTAAACAAACAACAACACTGTTTGTTGGGATTTCGGTGCCTTCCAAGTCATTTCTGACTTACCGTGACATTAAAATGGGGATTTTTAGGGCTGAGAGTGTGTGACTCACCCAAAGCTTCCCAATGGGTTCTTGTAACTCAGGATTCCTAGTCTCTTTTACCAGTTTTCAAACCAAGTCAACTTTGGGGATTTTCTTGGTGAGGTTTCTCCTAGATTTCCTACCATGGCGTTCCTCTGAAGCTGAGAATTCCCAGGTTTGCGCTAGGATTGAAACCCTGACCCCTCTGAATGCGAATCCACACCCAGACCACTATTTTGTGCTAACAGACTCGAAAATCCCATTTCCACCCACCCACCCCTGGACTTTGTCCAAATGCAAATGTAAATCAGTTTCCTTTTGTAAATACAATGTAAATGGGTGAATAAATGTGCTGTTCAGTAAAGGATTCCTAGCTGCAAGTGTGCTCATTTTGAAAAAAAGAACACAGCTTTCTCTTTCTTAGGCCTGGGCAAACTTGGGCTCTCCAGGTGGACTCCAACTCCCACAATTCCTCTTTCCTTTTTCTCCTCAGCCGCTTAAGCAGAGTGCTGGGCCCATAACCAACGTTAGGCTCTGTTACCTGTGCAGAGTGCAAGGAAGCTTTCTCTACAGCACGCCTGGGCAAGCTAGGGCCTTCCAGGTGTTTTGGACTCCAACTCCCAGAATTCCTAACAGCCTCAAGCCCTTTCCTCCCCCCCCCCCCAGCTGCTTAAGCAGAGTGCTGGGCCCATAACCAATGTTAGGCTCTATTGCCTGTGCGGAATGCAAGGAAACTTTCTCTATAGCAGGCCTGGGCAAGCTTGGGCCTTCCAGGTGCTTTGGACTCCAACTCCTACAATTCCTAACAGCCTCAGGCCCTTTCCTTTTCCTCCTCAGCCACTTAAGCTGAGTGCTGGGCCCATAACCAACTTTAGGCTCTGTTACCTGTGTGGAATGCAAGGAAGTTTTCTCTACAGCAGGCCTGGGCAAGCTTGGGCCCTCCAGGTGTTTTGGACTCCAACTCCCACAATTCCTAACAGCCTCAGGCCCTTTTCTCCCCCTCCCCTTAGCTGCTTAAGCTGAGTGCTGGGCCCATAACCAACTTTAGGCTCTGTTACCTATGCCGAGTGCAAGACCACACCTGGAATATTGTGTCCAATTCTGGGCACCAATAAGAGAGATGTTGACAAGCTGGAATGTGTCCAGAGAGAGTGACTACAATGATCAAGGGTTTGGAGAACAAGCCCTATGAGGCGGCTTAAGAGCTGGGCATGTTTAGCCTGAAAGAGAAGGCTGAGAGGAGATATGATAGCATGTATAAATATGTGAGAGGAAGCCACAGGGAGGAGGGAGCAAGCTTGTTTTCTGCTTCCCTGGAGACTAGGACGCGGAACAATGGCTTCAAACTACAAGAAAGGAGATTCCATCTGAACATGAGGAAGAACTTCCTGACTGTGAGAGCCGTTCAGCAGTGGAACTCTCTGCCCCGGAGTGTGGTGGAGGCTCCTTCTTTGGAAGCTTTTAAACAGAGGCTGGATGGCCATCTGTTGGGGGTGATTTGAATGCAATATTCCTGCTTCTTGGCAGGGGGTTGGACTGGATGGCCCATGAGGTCTCTTCCAACTCTTTGATTCTATGATTCTATGAAGCTTTCTCTACAGCAGGCCTGGGCAAGTTTGGCCCTCCAGATGTTTTGGACTCCAACTACCATAATTCCTAACAGCCTCAGGTTTAAGTGGCTGAGGGGGGAAAAGGAAAGGTCCTGAGGCTGTTAGAAATTGTGGGAGTTGGAGTTCAAAACACCTGATGGGCCCAAGTTTCCCCATGTCTGCTCTATCTCCTGGTTGTTGTTTGCTTTCAAGTTTCCAACAGTTTTGGGAGGTTGAGAGAGTGTGACTCACCCAATGGATTTCCAAGCCCAAATGGGGCCACTCAAACTTGAGTCTCTAGCTGTAATCCAGCACTCAGACCACTATCTTGCCTCATTTTGCCCTGCTGTCAAACTCAAAGAGTATGATAGGAATGGAAGGAATGTTTGTTTTTGTCTAATTTCTCACCAAATAATGGGTTGCCCAATGTTTGGAAAACCCCAGCGAGGAGGAGGAGGAACGCAAAGCAGCAGTGGGAGGCTTTGCCCTTTTGCAAGACCTTCCAGGAGTGATGCCAAGCAGAAACTGCACACAAGACTTCAACACAAAGACTATTTCCCTTTTCTTTTTTTTTGGCTCTGTGTGCAAAAAGAAAAACACAAAGTGCCCTGTCACGCCTATATTCTTGGACTCGAAAAACTGTTATTTTGCAGGCATTGCAATGCACGAATAGTGCTCCAGAAAAGCACTGAAATGGGTTGTTGTAGGCTTTTTAGGGCTATATGGCCATGTTCTAGAGGCATTTTCTCTTGATGTTTTGCCTGCATCTATGGCAAGCATTCTCAAAGGTAGTGAGGTCACTACCTCTGAGGATGCTCACTACCTCTGAGGATGCTTGCCATAGATGCAGGCGAAATGTCAGGAGAGAATGCCTCTAGAACAGTGTTTCTCAACCTGGGGGTCGGGACCCCTGGGGGGGTCGCGAGGGGGTGTCAAAGGGGTCACCAAAGACCATCCGAAAATGCAGTATTATCTGTTGGTCATGGGGGTTCTGTGTTGGAAGTTTAGTCCAATTCTGTCCTTGGTGGGGTTCAGAATGCTCTTTGATTTAGGTGAACTATACATCCCCACAACTAAAACTCCCTAATGTCAAAGTCTATTTCCCCCCAAACTTCACATTTGGGCATATTGAGTATCACTGCCAAGTTTGGTCCAGATCCATCATTGTTTGAGTCCACAGTGCTCTCTGGATGTAGGTGAACTACAACTCCATAACTCAAGGTCGATGCCCACCAAACTGTTCCACTATTTTCTGTTGGTCATGGGCCAACATGTGCCAAGTTTGGTTCAATTCCATTGTTGGAGTTCAGAAAGCTCTTTGATGCTCTTTAATTGTAGGTGAACTATAAATCCCAGCAACTACTACTCCCAAATGACAAAATCAATTCCCCCCAACCCCACCAGTATTCAAACTTGGGCATATCAGGTATTTGTACCAAACTTGGTCCAGTGAACACATCTTGCATATCCGATATTTATATTACAATTCATAACAGTGGCAAAATTGCAGTTATGAAGGAGCAATGAAAATAATTTTCTAGTTGGGGGTCACCACAACATTAGGGGTCACGGCATTCAGAAGGTTGAGAAACACTGGTCTAGAACATGGCCATATAGCCCAAAAAAACCTACAACAACCCAGTGATTCCGGCCATGAAAGCCTTCGACAATACCTCATAGCCTCTGAGGACGCCTGCCATAGATGTGGGCAAAACATCAGGAGGGAATGCTTCTGGAACATGGCCATAGAGCCTGGAAAACTCATAGCAACCCAGTGATTCCGGCCATGAAAGCCTCCAACAATACAAGCACTGAAATCTTCACAGTTCAAGTATTGGGGTGCGGGTGCAAAGCCGAAGCAAAATTTGGCACCGACACTTCCCAGGACCCAAATTGTTTGGGGGCCTCCCTAGAGCCAGTGTTGGTGGAAGAAAAAGATAAAAAGAAAGTGCTGCCATCAGGACAGAGGAGAAGGGAATGGAGATGTTCCAGACCAATGTGGTCTTCTGTTCAGGGGCACAGAGATCTCACTTCTCTTCCTTCTCAAGACCTTCATATGAGCCATTGGAAGAGCGGTGTTTCCAAAGCAAATGTCACAACCCAGGCGTGCAGACAGGTCTTGCTGCAACAGCTACAGAGTCAGAGGTCAACGCAAGCAGCAGGCAAGTGGCAGAACTTGATACATGCATGGGAGACATCCACATCCCATCCATGTTTACGTTGCCTCCCTGAAGTCCAACAGGGTCACCAAATACTATTGCCTTCTGTGGGAACCATTGAGAACTTGCTTCACATCAAAGCAGTAAAGCAGTGGTTCCCAACCTGTGGTCCATGGACCACCAGTGGTCTGCAAGAACTAAATTATGAGGTTCTTGTGGGTTTTTTCGGGCTATAGAGCCATGTTCTAGAGGCATTTCTCCTGACGTTTCGCCTGCATCTATGGCAAGCATCCTCAGAGGTAGTGAGCCATGAACTCCATGGCTTTGCACTGATGTGGCCTTGGGGGCTGTGCAGTTCCAACAGACCTCACTACCTCTGAGGATGCTTGCCATAGATGCAGGCGAAACGTCAGGAGAAATGCCTCTAGAACATGGCTCTATAGCCTGAAAAAACCCACAAGAACCTAGTGATTCCAGCCATGAAAGCCTTCGACAATACATTAAACTAAATTATGGTCCATGGACTCACCGTTACACCGTTGTACTGAGAACAACTAGTCTCACGAAACCATTAAATATGGTTTTCTGTAGGCAAGCAGATGGCAACTACTAGATGTCATATGTTCTGTATCAGAAACTAGAACTGATGTGGTCTATCCAATGCTGTTTTCTGAATCAGCACCCCAAATAACCAAGCCAAATCTAAAGTTGCCAAAAACTGATTTGTAACCTTTTTGAAACTACTGTTGGAGAGCGGTCCCTAGTCAAAATGGTCCTTGGTCCAAAAAAGGTTGGGAACCAGTGCTACTGGTCAAAGAACACTTAAGCAACTACCAAACTTGCAAATTTTGTGTTTTGCCTGTTTGTTTGTTTTGTTCTGTTAGAAATGCAATACAATTGACTGGTTGCCCTGACACGACAAATAAATAAATAACCAGAGGGCTAGATAACATTTTATTCTTTGGTTTTACCTGCAATGGAGGGACATACAATCTCTTGCACCCTTTGAGGGCATCCCACCCTCCTTGCAGCTGTAGGATCCACCAAGTCTGTAAACAGAAGGCACGGTCAAGGGACGAAGACACACCCAAGCAGGAAGTCCTGCTCTCCGTGGACAATAGGCTTTCCCTTTCCTTTTCAGATCTGGAGTCCAGTTTCTTCTTACGTCCCTGGCTTCATTCTCGCAAATTTCCCACCTGGTTTGAATCAGCCAGGGATTCTTTTGGCCAGAGCAGGACGATAGGAACTGGTTGAACTGCATCACCCAGCATCCTTCCCCAGAGTTAGTGGCTGATGGGAGTTGGAGTCTAGCAACCTGACCGACTGGCCATTCCTCTTGGTTTCTGGCCAATTTGGGGAGAGGCGTTTGCAAAGTCGGCAAGCCGTCTTCTTGGCTGCTCCTCTCAAAGGTATTAAATGTAAACACTTAAATATATATATAGATAGATAAATATATATAGATAGGTATATAAGAGTTATAAAATACACAGAAGTAGTAAATATTAACCATTTCTTTGGTGTGTGATAAGGACACTGCTGATATGCCATAGCAAAAAATGGGATGGTTCCCCCCACCCCCGGTATTCAAGGCAAACATGGCATTGTAACCAGTGTAGTTTGTGCCGCCCAGAAGCTGGCCAAACGGCCCCTTTTTATGTACTACGTCTCCCAGAATCCCCCAGCCAGCGCCATGCATGAACAACCCCAATGCCTTTCCTCTTTGCTTGTTTGCACAGTTGCCCCCCAAAAAAGTCCACCATAGTTTTATTGGGGTGCATCTACATTGCAGAATGAAAGCAACATGACCCCACTCGAACTGCCATGGCTCAACCTTATGGAATACTGGGAGTTGTAGTTTTCTCAAGGACTTCCGTACTCTCTGCCAAAGAGTACTGGTACTTCAATGAACTACAGATCCCATGATTTGATAGCATTGAGCCATGGCAGTGTTGGAGCCACCAGAAGCTGACCATTATTTGAACTATGTCTCCCAGAATCCCCCAGCCAGCACCATGCATGAACAACCCCAATGCCTTTCCTCTTTGCTTGTTTGCACAGTTGCCCCCCCCAAAGTCCCCCATAGTTTTATTGGGGTGCATCTACATTGCAAAATGAAAGCTATGCGACCCCACTCCTATACGCCTGCGAAACGTGGACTGTCTACAGAAGTCATGCTCAACTCCTGGAACTGCCATAGCTCAACCCTATGGAATCCTGGGAGTTGTGGTTTTCTCAAGGCTTTCCACTCTATGACCCCATTCAAACTGCCATGGCTCAACCCTATGGAATCCTGGGAGTTGTAGTTTTCTCAAGGCGGAACACCCAAAAGTACCGGTACTTCACCGAACTACAAATCCCACAATTCCATAGCATTGAGCCATGGTGGGGCCGAACTGCTCTTGTGTGATATATAGATGCACCCGCAGACATACTCTCACCCTTTGCTCCCATGCGTACATACACACATACAGGTATCCTATATAATCCCCTTTCGTCCCAAGCAGGAAAAGGGTCCTTCGGGAACGGAAAGAAACTCGCATCCCGGGCAGCTCTATCCAGTGACCACCGTATGGCTTTGCCCGGTGGTTCCTGTCTGTTCAAAGAAGATAAAATCCTGCAAAAGAAGGAAAAAAACAGGAGAAAGAAGGGGTTAAATTCAGTGCAATTCACCCTGGGTGCATCTACAGCAGGCATGGGCCAACTTATCAGCCGGTTATGATACTGTAAACCACCTCCTCCTCCTGAGAAAAATGTATAATATCACAAAGGACGACCACCTCACCCGCCTCATAGGAAACCTGCTACAAAACAGGAGCTTTTTTGTTGAGTTCCAGGGCCAGAGAAGCAGATGGCGGACACAGAAGAATGGCCTGCCTCAGGGGAGCGTGCTTGCTCCATCCATGTTCAACATTTACACAAATGACCAGCCATTGCCAGAAGGGACAGAGAGCTTCATCTATGCTGATGATCGTGCCATCACCGCTCAAGCAGGGAGCTTTGAGACGGTTGAACAGAAGCTCTCCGAAGCACTAAGTGCCCTTACCGCCTATTACAGGGAAAACCAGCCGACCCCTAATCTATCTAAAACACAGACATGTGCCTTTCACCTTAAGAAAAGACAAGCATCTCGAGCTTTGAGGATCACCTGGGAAGGAATCCCACTGGAGCATTGCAGCGCACCCAAATCCCTGGGAGTCACTCTGGACCGTGCTCTGACCTACAAGAAGCACTGCCTGAACATCAAGCAAAAAGTGGGTGCTAGAAACAATATCATACGAAAGCTGACTGGCACAACCTGGGGATCACAACCAGACACAGTGAAGACATCTGCTCTTGCGCTGTGCTACTCTGCTGCTGAGTATGCATGCCCAGTGTGGAACACATCTCACCACGCTAAAACAGTGGATGTGGCTCTGAATGAGACATGAATGAGACATGCCACGGGGTGTCTGCGCCCTACACCACTGGAGAAATTACACTGTTTAGCCGGGAAATTACACCTGGGAAGTAGCAGCCAATAGTGAAAGGACCAAGGCAGTGACATCTCCAGCTCATCCCCTGTTTGGGTATCAGCCAGCACGTCAATGACTTAAACCAAGAAATAGTTTTCTAAGATCTACAGAGACACTCACTGGAACACCTCAGCAAGCAAGAGTCCAAAAGTGGCAGGCTCAAACACAGAACCTCAACCAATGGCTGAGACGAAATGAGAGACTCCCCGCTGGGCACACAGAAGAAGACTGGGCGACTGAAGGCGCTGAACAGACTGCGCTCTGGCATCATGAGATGCAGAGCCAACCTCAAGAAATGGGGCCACAAAGTGGAATCCACGACATGCGAGTGTGGAGAAGAGCAAACCACTGACCACCTGCTGCAATGCAACCTGAGCCCCGCCACATGCACAATGGAGGACCTCCTTGCGGCAACACCAGAGGCACTCCAAGTGGCCAGATACTGGTCAAAGGACATTTAATCAACTACCAAGCTTGCAAACTCTGTTTTGTCTATTTGTTAAAAATTTGTTAAAATGTAATACAGTTGTCTGGAGGTGTTTTGGACTTCACCTCCCACAATTCCTAACAGCCGGTAGGCTGTTAGGAATTGTGGGAGTTGAAGTCCAAAACACCTGGAGGGCCGAAGTTGGCCTATGCCTGCTGTAGATGCACCCCTTGTGGGGTCTTGAAAGTCATTTTGGGGTGGGGGGGTGGGTGGGCAGACTCACAATGAGGAAACAGGCTCCCAAAAGGACCGCCTTCATCTTCACATCGAGATCCATAGGGAACTGGATGCCGAAGTTGTCCGTGTCGGTGAAGACCTCTTGGAGGAGGCCACTCCAATGCTTGCTGATGCGCCCAATGCCGCGGGATTCGTCCACTGTTTTCACCTGGAAGGAAGCAAGCAGGAAAATATTGCAAATTCCACAAACCTATTGGAAATAACTGCACCATAACCTTATCCTAAAGGTAAACATGACGTCACGTCCATAAACTCCATAGAATCACAGAGTTGGAAGAGACCTCATGGGCCAGTCCAACTCCCTGCCAAGAAGCAGGAAAATTACATTCAAAGCACCCCAAACAGATAGCCATCCAGCCTCTGCTTAGAAGCCTCCAAAGAAGAAGCCTCCACCACACTTAAGCAGGAAAATTGCATTCAAAGCACCCCCAACAGATAGCCATCCAGCCTCTGTTGAAAAGCCTCCAAAGAAGGAGCCTGCACTACACTCTCGGGCAGAGAGTTCCACTGCTGAACAGCTCTCACAGTCAGGAAGTTCTTCCTAATGTTTACATAAATAAAAATGTAGTATTTGTTTGTGGGATTAGCATAACTCAAAAACCACTGGATGAATTGACACCAAATTTGGACACAAGACACCTATCAGGCCAACGAGTGACCATCACTCATAAAAACACTGAAAAACACATCAGAAGGGACTTAAAAAAAACCCCAAAAGCTAAATGACGAAAAGCTAAGTGACAATACAGAAAAAAAGGAAGAAAGAGGGAGGGAAGGGGAGAAAAGAAAGAGGAAGGAAATGGAGAAGAATGCATGGAAGCAAAGAGAGAAGGAAGGAAAGAGGTAGAGAAGGAAGGAGAGAAAGAGGGAGGGAAAGAAAAAGGGGGAAGGAAGGAAAGTTAGAGAAGGAAGTAAGGAGAGAAGGAAAGAATAAAGGGAAAGAAGGAAAGAAAGAGGGAGGGAAGGAAGAAGGAAAGTAGAAGGAAAGAGGAAGAGGTAGAGAAGGAAGAAAGGAGAGAAAGAGGGAGGGAAAGAAAAAGGGGGAAGGAAGGAAAGTTAGAGAAGGAAAAAAGGGGAGAAGGATAGAAAAAAGGGAAAGAAGGAGAGAAAGAGGGAGTGAAGGAAAGAAGGAAAGGGAGAAGGAAGGAAGGAAAGAGGTAGAGAAGGAAGAAAGGAGAGAAAGAAGGAGGGAAAGAAAAAGGGGGAAGGAAAGTTAGAGAAGGAAAAAAGGGGAGAAGGATAGAAAAAAGGGAAAGAAGGAGAGAAAGAGGGAGCAAAGGAAAGAAGGAAAGGGAGAAGAAGGAAGGAAAGAGGTAGAGAAGGAAGAAAGGAGAGAAAGAGGGAGGGAAAGAAAAAGGGGAAGGAAGGAAAGTTAGAGAAGGAAAGAAGGGGAGAAGGAAAGAAAAAAGGGAAAGAAAGAAAGAAAGAGGGAGCAAAGGAAGGGGAAGATGTAGAGAAAGAGGGAGGGAAAGAAGGAAAGAGAGGAAGGAAGAAAAGAAAGACAGCAGAAGAGAAAGAAAAAGGGGGAAGGAAGGAAGGAGATAGAGAAGGAAGGAAGAAGAGAAGGAAAAACGGGAAGGAAAGAAGGAGGGAGTTAAGGAAGGTGGGGAAAGAAGGAGAGAAAGAGGGAAGGTTGGCCACAGCAATGCGTGGCGGGTACAGCTAGTCTACATAAATAAAAATGTAATGTTTGTTTGTGGGATTAACAGAACTCAAAAACCACTGGATGAATTGACACCAAATTTGGACACAAGACACCTCTCAGGCCAACAAGTGACCATCACTCCTAAAAACACTGAAAAACACAGCAGAAGGGACTTAAAGAGCCACAAAATAAAAAATACATTACAACACATGTGCAAAACCACATATATACATGCAAACTCACATATATACAGACACACGCGCACGCGCATGCACACACACACACACACACACATATATATACATATATATATATATACACACACACACATGCACACGCGCACTAGCTATCTCCTTGCTGTGGCCCAGTCTGTGTATATGTCTTATGTGTGTGTATATATGTGTGTGTATATATTTGTGTATATGTGTATAAAGTGGTTTTGTGAATGTGTTGTATTATTTTTTTGGCTTTTTAAGTCTCTTCTATTGTTTTTCATTGTTTTTATGAGTGATGGTTTTTTCGGGCTATGTGGCCATGTTTTAGAGGCATTTTCTCCTGACGTTTTGCCTGCATCTATGGCAAGCATCCTCAGAGTTAGTGAGGTAGAGAATCTCCATGAACATGTGGAGACCACCTTTTGAAAACCACTAGTCAAGAAAAGGCAGAGAGACCTCACTACCTCTGGGGATGCTTGCCATAGATCAGTGTTTCTCAACCTGGGGGTCGGGACCCCTGGAGGGGTCGCCAGGAGGTGCCAGAGGGGTCACCAAAGCCCATCAGAAAACAAAGTATTTTCTGTTGGTCACGGGGGTTCTGTGTGGGAGGTTTGGCCCAATTCTATCATTGGTGGGCTTCAGAATGCTTTTTGATTGTAGGTGAACTATAAATCCCAGAAAATACAACTCCCAAATGTCAAGGCCTATTTTCCCCACACTCCACCAGTGTTCACATTTAGCATACTGAGTTTGGTCCAGATGCATCATTGTTTGAGTCCATAGTGCTTTCTGTAGGTGAACTACAACTCCCAAACTCAAGGTCAATGCCCACCAAACCCTTCCAGTGTTTTCTGTTGGTTGTGGGCATTCTGTGTGCCAAGTTTGGTTCAATTCCATCGTTGGTGGAGTTCAGAATACTCTTTGATTGTAGGTGAACCATAAATCCCATAAAACTACAACTCCCCAATTACGTTTCATAACAGGAGCAAAATTACAGTTATGAAGCAGCAAAAGAACGTTATGGTTGGGGGTCACCACAACATGAGGATCTGTATTAAGGGGTCGCGGCATTAGGAAGGTTGAGAGACACTGCCATAGATGCAGGTGAAATGTCAGGAGAAAATGCCTCTAGAACATGTCAGGAGGCATGTCAGGAGAAAATGCCTCTAGAACAACCCAAGCACCTTGGTGTCTCTACGGATGTTCTAGGCCTCAAACACTCTCTGCTTCTCATATGCTTCTGCGAAGGTGTTTAGAGTGGCTTGTAGGTCGTCTTCTGAATGCGCACAGACAACATTGTCATTCGCATATTGGAGTTCTGTAACAGATGTTGTTGTGACTTTGGTTTTTGGCTTTCAGTCTGCTGTAGTCTGATACAAACTGAACGCAAAATGGATTCCTGTGTCTGAAGCCCCTCCCACACCAGAGGTAGAGACAAGCTGGCAAAACAAAAATGTACATACAATATAGGTAAACAAGTATACATATTTACAAACAGTTAGTGGAGGCTTGGAAGGTTTCTAGTTCCAACAGAAAAGAGGGACGGGGCTTGATACTGATTCAGGGCACGGGTTGCAACCTTAGTGGTGGTGAATCTCCCAGAGAGAGAAGGCGGAATCATGGCTTTGAGTCCCCAAGACTGCATCACTTTTGCTCCGGCTCAGTGCTGTGGAATCCTAGGAGTTGCAGTGTGACAAGGCCTTGGCAACATTTAACTAAACTGTTGTTGTTCATTTGTTCAGTCATCTCCGACTCTTTGTGACCTCATGGACCAGCCCACGCCAGAGCTCCCTGTCGGCCGTCACCACCCCCAGCTCCTTCAGAGTCAAGCCAGTCACTTCAAGGATGCCATCCATCCATCTTGCCCTTGGTCGGCCCCTCTTCCTTTTTCCATTTTCCCCAGCATAATTCCCTTCTCTAGGCTTTCCTGTCTCCTCATGATGTGGCCAAAGTACTTCAACTTTGTCTCTACTCTCCTTCCCTCCAGTGAGCAGTCGGGCTTTATTTCCTGGAGGATGGACTGGTTGGATCTTCTCGCAGTCCAAGGCACTCTCAGCACTTTCCTCCAACACCACAGTCAAAAGCATCTCTCTTCCTTCACTCAGCCTTCCCGAAGGTCCAGCTCTCACCTCCGTAGGTGACTACAGGGAAGACCATGGCTTTGACTAGGCAATGGATCTTTGTTGCCGGTGTGATGTCTCTACTCTTTATTATTTTATCGAGATTGGACATTGCTCTCCTCCCAAGAAGGAAGCGTCTTCTGATTTCCTGGCCACAGTCTGCATCTGCACTCATCTTTGCACCTAGAAATACAAAGTCTGTTACGGCCTCCACATTTTCTCCCTCTATTTCCCAGTTGTCAATCATTCTTGTTGCCATGATCTTGGTTTTTTTTTTATGTTTAGCTGCAACCCAGCTTTTGCGCTTTCTTCTTTCACCTTGATTAGAAGGCTCCTCAGCTCCTCCTCGCTTTCGGCCATCAGAGTGGTGTCATCTGCATATCTGAGGTTGTTAATGTTTCTTCCAGCAATTTTCACCCCAGCTTTGCATTCCTCAAGCCCCGCACATCGCATGATGTGTTCTGCATACAAGTTAAAGAGGTTGGGTGAGAGGATGCAGCCTTGCCGGACGCCTTTCCCAATCTTGAACCAGTCTCCTGTTCCGTGGTCAGTTCTGACTGTGGCTCCTTGGTCCTTGTACAGATTCCTCAGGAGAGAGGGAAGGGGGCTTGGGATGCCCATCCCACCAAGAACTTGCCACAATTTATGATGATCCACACAGTCAAAGGCTTTAGAATAGTCAATGAAGCAGAAGTAGATGTTTTTCTGAAACTCCCTGCCTTTCTCCATTATCCAGCGGATATTGGCAATCTGGTCTCTCGTTCCTCTGCCTTTTCCTCTGCCTAACTAAACCAGTCCTTAGAAAACTGCAACTTCCAGGGTTCCCTAGCATTGAGCCATGGCAATTCAAGTGGCCTCAAACGGCATTCACACTCTTACAGAAAGGTTTGCCCCTTGCATAACTTTGAGAAATAATGTAGGAGGAGCGGAGGCGCAGGAACCCGTCAGTCATAAATATTTTATTGTTCATTTCGAAAGAGAACGTTTCACTGGAAAAACTGGGGAGTGCATCTAGATCGGGGGCTCTCCACCAGGTGTTTTGGCCTACAGCTCCCAGAAATCCCAGCCAAAACATCTGGGGACCCACAGGTTGAGAACCACTGGTCTAGACTGAGGAATGGATGCAGTTTGACACCACTATGGACGCTTGGGACTTGTAGCTCTCCAAGGCTTTTAGCCTCCTCTGTCCAAGAGGGCTGGCACCTTAGAATCCTAGAGTTGGAAGAGACCTCATGGACCATCCAGTCCAACCCCATTCTGCCAAGAAGTAGGAAAATAGCATTCAAAGCACCACTGACAGATGGCCACCCAGCCTCTGTTTCAAAGCCTCCAAATATGGAGCCTCCACCACACTCTGCGGCAGAGAGTTCTACTGCTGAACAGCTCTCTCTCACAGTCAGGGAGTTCTTCTTAATGTTCATGAACATTCCTAACATTCAGGAACCTTCCCAAGCTACAAATCCCAAGATTCCACAGTATTGTTGTTGTTGTTGTTGTTGTTGTTGTTGTTATGATTATTATTTTGACCCATGGGTAGTTCAAGCTGCATCAATTTTACACTGTAAATTGCAGCATTAGTCTCTTAAAATCATAGAATCCTAGAGTTGGAAGAGATCTCGCGGGCCATCCAGTCCAACCCCATTCTGACAAGAAGTAGGAAAATCGCATTCAAAGCATCCCCGACAGATGGTCATCCAGCCTCTGCTTCAAAGCCTCCAAAAAAGGAGCCTCCACCAACCTCCTAGACAGAGAGTTCCACTGCTGAACAGCTCTCACAGTCAGGAAGTTCTTCCTAATGTTTACGAACCTTCCTAACATTCAGGAACTTTCCCAAGCTACAAGTCCCAGGATCCCTCAAGATTGAGCCATGAATTGTTCAAGATGCATCAATTCTACAGATTGGTCTCTTAGAATCCTAGAGTTGGAAGAGACCTCATGGACCATCCAGTCCAACCCCATTCTGCCAAGAAACAGGAAAATCGCATTCAAAACACCCCCGACAGATGGCCATCCAGCCTCTGCTTCAAAGCCTCCAAAGAAGGAGCTTCCACCACACTCTGCAGCAGAGGGTTCCACTGCTGAACAAGTCTAACAGTCAGGAAGTTGTCAAATACTTTCATGGCCGGAATCACTGGGTTGTTGTAGGTTTTTTCGGGCTATATGGCCATGGTCTAGAGGCATTCTCTCCTGACGTTTTGCCTGCATCTATGGCAAGCATCCTCAGAGGTAGTGAGGTCTGTTGGAACTAGGAAAAAGGGTTTATATATCTGTGGAATGACCAGGGTGGGACAAAGGACTCTTGTCTGCTGGAGCTAGGTGTGAATGTTTCAACTGACCACCTTGATTAGCATATAATGGCCTGACAGTGCCTGGAGCAAACTTTTGTTGAGAGGTGATTAGATGTCCTTGTTTGTTTCCTCTCTGTTGTTGTGCTGTTGTAATTTTAGAGTTTTTTTAATACTGGTAGCCAGACTTTGTTCATTTTCATGGTTTCCTCCTTTCTGTTGAAATGGTCCACCTGCTTCATGTGGATTTCAATGGCTTCTCTGTGTAGCCTGACATGGTGGTTGTGAGAGTGGTCCGGCATGTCTGTGTTCTCAAATAAAATGCTATGTCCAGGTTGGTTCCTCAGGTGCTCTGCTATGGCTGACTTCTCTGGTTGAAGTAGTCTAAAACTCTAAAATTACAACAGCACAGCAACAGAGAGGAAACAAACAAGGACATCTAATCACCTCTCAACAAAAGATTGCTCCAGGCACTGTCAGGCCATCAAAGTGGAAATATTCACACCTAGCTCCAACAGACAAGAGTCCCTTGTCCCACCCTGGTCATTCCACAGACATATAAACCCTTCTTCCTAGTTTCAACAGACCTCACTGCCTCTGAGGATGCTTGCCATAGATGCAGGCGAAACGTCAGGAGAGAATGCCTCTAGACCATGGTAATATAGCCCGAAAAAACCTACAACAACCCAGTCAGGAACTTATTCCTCATGTACACAAACCTTCCTAACATTCAGGAACCTTCCCAAGCTACAAATCCCAGGATCCCACAAGATTGAGCCATGAGTCGTTCAAGCTGCATCAATTCTATAGCTTGGTCTCTTAGAATCATAGAATTCTAGAGTTGGAAGAGATCTCGTGGGCCATCCAGTCCAACCCCTTTCTGCCAAGAAGCAGGAAAATCGCATTCAAATCACTCGCAACAGATGGCCATCTTAAAAGCCTCCAAAGAAGGAGCTTCCACCACACTCCTAGACAGAGAGTTCCACTACTGAACAGCTCTCACAGTTAGGAAGTTATTCTTCATGTACACAAACCTTCCTAACATTCAGGAACCTTCCCAAGCTACAAATCCCAGGATTCCACAAGATTGAGCCATGAGTCGTTCAAGCTGCATCAATTCTACAGATTGGTCTCTTAGAATCCTAGAGTTGGAAGAGACTTCATGGGCCATCCAGACCAACCCTTTCTGCTAAGAAGTAGGAAAATCGCATTCAAAGCACCCCCGACGGATGGCCATCCAGCCTCTGTTTCAAAGCCTCCAAAGAAGGAGCGTCCCCCACACTCTGCAGCAGAGGGTTCCACTGCTGAACAGCTCTCACAGTCAGGAAGTTCTTCCTCATGTTAAGATGGAATTTCCTTTCTTGTAGTTTGAAGCGTCTGAGGGGGAAAAGGAAAGGGCCTGAGGCTGTTAGGAATGATGGGAGTTGAAGTCCAAAACACCTAGAGGAAGGGCCCAAGTTGGCCCATGCTTGATATAAATCATCAATCACTATCAATATAACAAAAACAACCGCACCTCGAAGTTGACGTCTCCCCCGCAGCTGAAGACGAAGGTGGGGCCCACCACCCGCAGCATGGTTTCCTTCTCGACATTCTGGACGGAGAATTTGGGCTGCAAAGCGTGCCACGTCTGCTCCACGAAGCCAATGGTGTTGCCCGGTGGGCACTGCACTTCCATCTGGGGGGCAAAGGGGATCGTCATATATAATAATATATAGCAATATATAATAATATATCATTGTCTTATATACAATAACACTTAATGTATATCCCGTTCTATCTCCCCAAGGGGACTCCGGGTAGATCACATGACACGGACACATCAAACATTCAATGTCGTTTTGGACAGACGGGACAGAAATAGACAGAAAAGAGGTCTGTTGTGTCGACGTTTTTGGAGCCTTGGAGGTTGTGCTCGAATCCAGCCACAAGGGGGTGCTGTTGCTCCATCATAGAATCCTAGAGTTGGAAGAGACCTCATGGGCCATCCAGTCCAACCCCATTCTGCCAAGAAGCAGGAAAATTACATTCAAAGCACCCCCAACAGATGGCCATCCAGCCTCTGTTTCAAAGCCTCCAAAGAAGGGGCCTCCACCACACTCTGCAGCAGAGAGTTCCACTGCTAAACAGCTCTCACAGTCAGGAAGTTATTCCTCATGTACACAAACCTTCCTAACATTCAGGCACCTTCCCAAGCTACAAATCCCAGGATTCCACAAGATTGAGCTATGGGTAGTTCAAGCTGCATCAATTCTACAGCTTGGTCTCTTGGAATCATAGAGTTGGAAGAGACCTCATGGGCCATCCAGTCCAACCCCATTCTGCCAAGAAGCAGGAAAATTTCATTCAAAGCACCCCCAACAGATGGCCATCCAGCCTCTGTTTCAAAGCCTCCAAAGAAGGGGCCTCCACTACACTCTGCAGCAGACAGTTCCACTGCTGAACAGCTCCCAGAGTCAGAAACTTCTTCCTAATTTTGGTAGAGATCATTATCTGATTTCATAGAATCCTAAATTTGGAAGAGACTCGTGGGACATCCAGTCCAACCCCATTCTGCCAAGAAGCAGGAAAATCACATTCAAAACACCCCCGACAGATGGCCATCCAGCCTCTGTTTAAAAACTTCCAAAGAAGAAGCCTCCTCTACACTCCGGGGCAGAGAGTTCCACTGCTGAACAGCTATGCTTTTCAATACAGCTGTCATTTTTTTAAACTATGAGGACTAGAAACATGACCGTTAAGAGGACAAAGGAAAGTGCCATCCTCTATGACAAAGAGCCATCAGGACCTCCTCCTTCCATTTGGTCAGGCATTTTCCAATCTTTTTCTTTTATGCTACCTAATTTCCCCAGTGGCACAGTGGGTTAAATCGGTGAGCTGCTGAAATTGCTGACCTGAGGCTGTTAGGAATGGTGGGAGTCAAAGTCCAAAACACCTGGAGGGAGGGCCTCCAGGGAGCAGGGTGAGCTCCCACTGTTAGCCCCAGCTTCTGCCAACCTAGCAGTTCGAAAACATGCACATGTAAGTAGATCAATACGTACCATTCCGGCGAGAAGGTAACTGCACTCCATGCCGTCATACCGGCACATGACCTTGGAGGTGTCTACGGACAACGCCAGCTCTTTGGCTTAGAAATGGAGATGAGCACCTCCTCCAGAGTCAGACACGACAGGCCTTAATGTCAGGGGGAAACTTTTTACCTAATTTCTCTACTTACAGTTCTAAGCTGTTTTCGAGCGGTTTAGGTAAACAGTGAGCTGGGCTAACAGTCAGGAGCTCATGCCAACCCGGGGCTTCGAACGGGCAACCTTTTGGTTGGTAGATCTTATTGGTGATTTACCAGCTGTGCTAAAGCTCGGCCCTGCAATCCAATCTTGAGACACCCACCTTCCTGTAAGGCACTTTCCTTTGTCCTCTAAATGGTCAAGTTTCTAGTCCTCATAGTTCGATAAGAACAACCCCCTTGTTTGAATTGCAATTCCATCAAACTAAGTCCAAGTCTTTGGGAGAGGAATTCCCCAACGACTGGCGACCCTGGTTTGGGGATGCTGGGGTTTGTAGTCCACGGGCTCACCTGCTGCAGGCAGCAAGGGCACCAGCAACTGGAGCATTTCAGTGGCCGGATCACACGCATGATCTCGCAGCCGGAAGGGTCGTCGATCCGCAGGGAGAAGCGGCGCAAGGAGCCGCAGAGGTTGCGCGTCAGCCAGTCATTCTGCTCCTCACAATGGAACACCGGGTGGCCCATGTTGTTGCGCACCTCGTACTTGTTGTTGCGCTCGAAGCCGATGAAAGCTACAGAAGAGAAAGGACAACAAAGAAAGAGAACGTGGCTGCTTTAATAGAGATAACAATGGCCGCTTTCATATAGATAATATTATTATTTATTAAATAATAATAGATGTTATTATTAGAAAAAAATTCATAGTAAATAAATTATAAATACCATAGAATACAGATAACAAATAGAAAATAGTCTCATGCCATGGCTTGAGGATGTGGAATGCTGGGAGTTGTAGTTTGAGACTATGTGAGACTAGAATTTCAAGGAAGGCATGTAGACAATCAAAAGAATTGGCTTCAATAAGAGGAACACATTTTAAAACCAACATACAAGGGTTGAATGAAAAGTAATGCCTCCACCTTTGTAACTCAACAGATGGCAGTACTGGTATGTGGCAGGTACTGGCTTGTTCAGTAGACTCTCCTCTAGAGTTCCATTTTGGTGGGAAGCCTTAGCATTGAACGGTTGAGTTGTTAAAGTGCGAAGTATGGAACCCTGGGCAGACGGTTGGTCAATGCGACTTAAGCAATGTGAAGTCATTGAATTCTTGACAGCAGAAGGTGTCACCCCAAAGGAGATTCATCAGGGAATGCAAGCTGCTGATGGTGATTGTGTTGATGTGAGTATTGTGCATTGTTGGGCGATCAAGTTTAAAGATGTTGAGGTGACACCTTCTGCTGTCAAGAACTCAATGACTGCACGAATTGTGGGAGTTGTAGTCCAAAATACCTGGAGGGCCAAAGTTTGCCCATGCTTGACCTAGGCCCTCCAGTACAATTCTATGAAGGATTTTGGATTTCAGATCAGGGATGCTCAATCTGTATTTGAGATGGAGAAGAGTCTCATTTTTCCCCAAATGTTCTCTGAAAACAATTGTATGGACGAACAATCGTACGGAAAGGGATTTGTGAATTCTCTCATTCATCCTCACCTTCCACTGCATCCGATTTCTGGTTTATCAAAATGTGATCAATCTGAGGAAAGAAACAAACCCAGAAAAGCATGATTAAATGCGCAAACAGAAATCAATGCATGTCAATGCTGCAAAATCAAGGCATAGGTGTGTTTAAAATGCCTTAATGGTGCATCTTCACGGTAGAATGGATGCAGTATGATACTGTGTTGTCGAAAGCTTTCATGGCTAGAATCCACCGGGTTGTGGTAAGTTTTCCAGGCTGTCTGGCCATGTTCCAGAAGCATTCTCTCCTGACGTTTCGCCTGCATCTATGGCAGGCACCCTCAGAGGTTGTGAGGTCGGTTGGAAACTAGGCAAGTGGAATTTATGTATCTATTGAATGATGTCTATGTTGGAGGTAAATATACATGTTGCAATTGGCCACCGTTTCACTCCAGGACAGGAAGAACCCTTTTCTACCGTTGGATGGAAAACAATCCTTTTATTGAAGATAATTAAGAAGCGGTAAGTAAAAAAAAACACTTTAAAGACATAGGTAAATCCAATTAGGTAGGAAGATAAGCAGGAATAAAGTAGTCCAGGGTGATAGTCCAGCAAAGTCCATAAAAACAAACTCAAAACTTCCCAAATAAAATGCAAAAAGTCAGGAAACATGAACCCAAGGCATGAATATAGAGCATAAAATCCAAGAATCAAAACCATGAAACAAAAGCACTTAAAATATGAATTTCCCAAGCAAAACTTCCACGAACAAGAACGAGATCTTGACTTGATTCCAAACAATGCTTCATCTGACTACATATCCTATACTTGAGACTTTTATATCCTTATTAGCTATGTCTCTAGCATTTCGTTTTAACTGAGAATTTCTTATCTTTTTCTCTCGGAGCATGACAGAACACCGAAGCCACTGTTTGGCTCTCCTGTTTTGACTGCTCTCCTCCCGTCTATCTATTTGCTCATTAATTTCTGCAGCTGGGCCAGGTGCCGAGCTGTTTTCATGTTCCCTATCATGGGAACTCTCTGGTAACAATTCAGAAAGCACACCATCATCCCCACATCCCTCAGGGACATTCTCACGGGAAACTACACTTTGAATAGGGATCTCCTGGTCATTCTGTACATCAATATCACTGACCAAACCATTGCCATCTTGAAACTCATTGACATCACTTCCCACATCCAAAGCACCCTGATCCTGGAACACAATCACAGGCTGAGCTCCAACAACCACTTTGATTAGAATTGAATGGCCTCACAACTTCAAAGCCTGGCTGCTTCCTGCCTGCAGGAATCCTTTTTTGGGAGGTGTTAGCTGGCCATGATTCCAGAGGAATTCCTGACAGGATACTACCAGGGCCAGCCAACACCTTCCAACAAAGAATTCCCCAAGGCAAGAAGCAGCCAGGCTTTGAAGCTGGAAGGCCATTCAATGCTAATCAAGGTGGGTTGTTGTAGGTTTTTCGGGCTGTATTGCCATGTTCTAGAAGCATTCTCTCCTGATGTTTCGCCTGCATCTGTGGCAAGCAACCTCACAACCTCTGAGGATGCTTGTCATAGATGCAGGGGCAACATCAGGAAAGAATGCTGCCTATGAAAGCCTTCGACAATACACTAATCAAGGTGGCCAATTGAAACATTCACACTTGCCTCAAAACAGACAAGAGTTCTGTCTCCCACCCAGGACATCATTCCACAGATATATAAACCCTACTTGCATAGTTTCCAACAGACCTCATAACCTTTGAGGATGCCAGCTATAGATGTGGGAGAGAATGCTTCTGGAACATGGCCATATGGCCCTGAAAACTCACAGCAACCCAGTTTGATTCCACTTTTACTGCTATGGGCTGATGCTGTGAAATGTTGGGAGTTGTACTTTGGTGAAGCCAAGGATGATGGGGAGTGCAATCCAACACAAACAATAGGATTTGGAAAACTCTATGTAACCTAGTACTATCTAGCTCAGTCCTTACTAACCCGTGACCTTCAGGTTGCATAGGACTACACCTCCCATCATCCTTACTTACTTAGGCGATCCCTCGTTGTCCGAGTAGGATAGTCTTCCAAGATCGCTGTACTGGCAGTGGGTCCGTAGCTGACTGTGGAGCCCTATTCTTGACCCGCATCTTCTCCCGCAGTGAGGGCATTGGTTTCCAGGTGGAAGGTGGTCCTGGCTGGGGTTGGCTTGATGTGCCTTCCTCTTGGCACGTTTTTCTCTTTCACCCTCCATTTGTGCCTCTTCAAATTCTACAGCACTGCTGGTCACAGCTGACCTCCAGCTGGAGCGCTCAAGGGTCAGGGCTTCCCAGTTCTCAGTGTCTATGCCAGAGTTTTTAAGGTTGGCTTTGAGCCCATCTTTAAATCTCTTTTCCTGTCCTCCAACATTTTGTTTTCCATTCTTGATTTCGGAGTAGAGCAACTGCTTTGGGAGACGGTGATTTCCGGACAACATGGCCGGTCCAGCGGAGTTGATGGCGGAGGACCATCGCTTCAACGCTGGTGGTCTTTGCTTCTTCCAGCACGCTGACGTTTGTCCGCTTGTCTTCCCAAGAGATTTGCAGGATTTTCCGTAGCAGCGCTGATGGAATCATTCCAGGAGTTGCATGTGACGTCTGTAGACAGTCCACGTCTCGCAGGCATATAGCAGGGTTGGGAGGACAATAGCTTTATAAACAAGCACCTTGGTCTCCCTACGGATGTCCCGGTCCTCAAACACTCTCTGCTTCATTTGGAAAAAGGCTGCACTCGCAGAGCTCAGGCGGTGTTGAATTTCCATCTCAATGTTGACGTCTGTAGACAGTCCACGTCTCGCAGGCGTATAGCAGGGTTGGGAGGACAATAGCTTTATAAACAAGCAGCTTGGTCTCCCTACGGATGTCGCGGTCCTCAAACACTCTCTGCTTCATTTGGAAAAATGCTGCATTCGCAGAGCTCAGGCGGTGTTGAATTTCCATCTCAATGTTGACGTCTGTAGACAGTCCACGTCTCGCAGGCGTATAGCAGGGTTGGGAGGACAATAGCTTTATAAACAAGCACCTTGGTCTCTCCTACGGATGTCCCGGTCCTCAAACACTCTCTGCTTCATTCGGAAAAATGCTGCATTCGCAGAGCTCAGGCGGTGTTGTATTTCAGTGTCAATGTTGACTTCTGTAGACAGTCCACGTCTTGCAGGCATATAGCAATGTTGGGAGGACAATAGCTTTATAAACAAGCACCTTGGTATCCCTACGGATGTCCGGTCCTCAAACACTCTCTGCTTCATTTGGAAAAATGCTGCACTCACAGAGCTCAGCGGTGATGGAATCGTTCCAGGAGTTGCATATGATGTCTGTAGACAGTCCACGTTTCGCAGGTGTATAGCAGGGTTGGAGGACTATAGCTCTATAAACAAGCCCCTTGGTCTCCCTACAGATGTCCTGGTCCTCAAACACTCTCTGCTTCATTCAGAAAAATGCTGCACTTGCAGAGCTCAGGCGGTGTTGTACAACACCGTCCCATCATCCACAGCCGACTAGCTAGGGGTGATGGGGAATATAGTCCAACCCAACCAATTTTATTGCTAGCAACTCTCAGAGGTAAAGAGGCAAAGAATCTGATTTCCTTTTGCATGGAAGATGTAAAGAGCTGTAGAACGGATGCAGTTTGACACTTCTTAAACTGACACGAACCTATGCTATGAAAGACCGGGAGTTGTAGCTTGTTAAGGCACCAGCAGTCTTTGTCAGAGAACATGAAAAGACATTGTAAAAGTAGAACTCCAATTATTCCTTAGCATTGAGCCCCTCAAAGTGTCCACCTAAAAATTAGGAAGAACGAATAATAAGCGGGTACCATGGGAGTTTACTCCTTTACAGGTTTTTAATCAGACGCTGGGTGGATATCTTTGGGGCATGCTTTAATTGTGCCTTCCTGTCTGGCAGAACAGGGTCAGACCACATGACCTCTGGGTTGTCCCTTTCAACTCTGTAATTCCACCCTTCTCCATGATGAAGCAGTTTCTCTCTGGGTGCAATGAACCCAGCTAATAACACACTTGCCCCTGAGGAAATTCCTTATCAAATAACATACATTTGACTGCAAATTGACTCGAAGCCATGATTATGGACGATAAATCTTGCGCCTTTTAATGCTGACATGGCAAGGTTTTGGGTTAGGGCCATAAAAGTGTGCTTAGAGTGAAGCCAAGACGGAAACTACAAATCAAGACACTTCTAGAGCAAGCATGGGCCAAGTTGGGCCCTCCAGATGTTGTGGACTTCAACTCCCACAACTCCTAACAGCCGGTAGGCTGTTAGGAATTGTGAGAGTTGAAGTCCACAACATCTGGAGGGCCCAACTTGGCCCAAGCCTGCACTATAGTCTATTGATACACACATCTTACAGGTAAAACCAGGTGATTCCTAATAAATCTAAACCACAGACATGTGCTTTTCATTTTAAGAACAGACAAGCATCTCAAGCACTGATGATTTCCTGGGAAGGAAGGAATGCATGCTGGTTGCACGCTGCAAGTCGCTTCTGGTGTGAGAGAATCAGCCATCTACAAAGACGTTGCCCAAGGGACGACCAAATGTACTGCGATCCGGCGAGGAGTCTTCTCCCAATGCAAAGTGTGCTTGCTCCATCAATGTTTCACATGTATACAAATGACCAGTAACTGCCAGAAAGCACAGAGAGTTTCATCTATGCTGATGATAGTGACATCACCACTCAAGCAGGGAGCTTTGAAAGGGTTGAACAGAAGCTCTCTGAAACTTGAGGTGCTCTTACTGCCTATATATATATATATATATATATATATATATATATATCCTTCAATGTTTAACATTTACACAAATGCCAGAAAGCACAGAGAGTTTCATCTATGCTGATGATCATGCCTTCACCGCTCAAGCAGGGCGCTTTGAAAAGGTTGAACTGAAGCTCTTTGAAGCTTGAGGTGCTCTTACTGCTTATACACAAACACACACACACATCCTTAAATGTTTAACATTTACACAAATGACCAGCCACTGCCAGAAAGTACAGAGTTTCATCTATGCTGATGATAGTGCCATCACCGCTCAAGCAGGGAACTTTGAAAGGGTTGAACAGAAGCTCTCTGAAGCTTGAGGTGCTCTTACTGCCTCTCTCTCTCTCTCTCTCTCTCTCAATATATATATATATATATATATATATATATATATATATATATACTTCAATATTTAACATTTATACAAATGACCAGCTACTGCCAGAAAGCACAGAGTTTCATCTATGCTGACGATCATCCCATCACCGCTCAAACAGGGAGCTTTGAAATAGTTGAACAGAAGCTCTCTGAAGCTTTAAGTGATCTTATTGTCTATTATAAAAAAAAACAACAACAGCTGATTCGTCATCTATCTGAAATGTACACATGTGCTTTTCATCTTAAGAACAGACAAGCATCTTGAGCTCTGAGGATGACTTGGGAAGGAATCCTGCTGGAGCATTGCAGCACACCCAAATACCTGGGAGTCATTCTGGAACATTCTCTGACTTACAAGAAGCACTGCTAGACTATTAAGCAAAAAGTGGGTGCTAGAAACAATACCATACGAATGCTGACTGGCACAGTGAAGACATCTGCCCTTGCGCTCTGCTACTCTACTGCTGAGTACGCATGCCCAGTGTGGAACATATCACACCATGCTAAAACAGTGGACGTGGCTCTTAATGAGACATGCCGCATTATCACGGGGTGTCTGCGCCCTACACCACTGAAGAAATCATATTTAGCTGGTATTGCACTCCCACCAGGATACAGTAGTGAAAGGACCAAGGCAGTGACATCTCCAGCCCATCCCTCATTGGATATCAGCCAGCACGCCAATGCCTTAAATCAAGAAATAGTTTTCTAAGATCTACAGAAACACTCGCAGGAGCACCTCAGCAAGCGAGAGTCCAAAAGTGGCAGGCTCAAACACAATGGTTGATACCAAATGAGAGACTCCCTCCTGGGCACACAGAAGACTGGGTGACTTGGAAGGCGCTGAACAGACTGCGCTCGGGCACCACGAGATGCAGAGCCAACCTTCAGAAATGGGGCCACAAAGTGGAATCCACGACAGGCGAGTGCGGAGAAGAGCCAACCACTGACCACCTGCTGCAATGCACCCTGAGCCCTGCCACATGCACAAGGGAGGACCTTCTTGCGGCAACACCAGAGGCACTCCCAGTGGCCAGATACCGGTCAAAGGACATTTAATATAACTGCCAAGTTTTTAAACTTTGTGTTTTTTTTAACCTACATTACAAATGTACCTTTGGTTTGCTCCTGATACAATAAATAAATATCCATGTCTTCCTTACCTGTGCCAGGTGTTCCAAACCTCGAGGGATGCTGGAGGCCACAGGAACGTAGGGGATGATGGCGTGAGGGTCCGGCCCGGACTGTTGCTGTGGGGGGTGAGGAGGCGGGGCGTGTTGGTGATACCCCCGGGGAGGAGGCGGGGGTGCCGTGATCTGCGCTTGGACAGGGCTGGTGGGGGGAAAGACGAAGCCAGGGCTGGGAGCGGACGGCATCATGTGGGACGGGTACGGAGGGGACGCAAGGGGGTGTCCTGGCTGAGGAATGGGGTATCCTATTTAGGCACAGAAGGAGAGAAAGAAAAAAAGAAAGAAAACAGAAGTTGTTAAGAAAGTTTGCATCCTATATTCTAAAAAATGTTACTGTGCCTTTAAGAAGACAATGCAAGACTGGAGCCCCTATTCTAAAGCATCTGTTACTGTGCCTTTTAAGAAGCAGATGCAAGACTAGACCCCCCTATTCTAAAAAGTTGGTACTGTACCTTTAAGAAATGAATGCAAGATTCTTTTCTAAAAATGATTACTGTGCCTTTAAGAAGTAAATGCAAGACTGCCTCTTATTCTAAAAATGGTTACCGTGCCTTTAAGAAGAGATTGCAAGACTAGACCCCCCCCATTCTAAAAAGTTGGTACTGTACCTTTAAGAAGTGAATGCAAGATTATTTTCTAAAAATGATTACTGTGCCTTTAAGAAGTGAATGCAAAACTGGACCCCCTATTCTTAAAAAAGCACACACAAAAGCACTGTTACTGCACCTTTAAGAAGTGAATGCAATTACTATGCCTTTAAGAAGAGATTGCAAGACTGCCCCTTGTTCTAAAAATGGTTACTGTGCCTTTAAGAAAAGGTTGCAAGACTGGACCCACTATTCTAAAAAAACTGTTACTCTACCTTTGTTGTCAAGTAATTTAGAATGGCTGTGGATAGTGAGATCCAAGTCATTGTGAGTTTGGCCTTGGTGAGAAAAAGAAGCCAGTATTCCAGAATAAATCTCACCAAGTTGAAGAGAAAGCCACCGAGGTTTCATTCCAGCTGGGAAGGATGACGATTGCAGTAATCTGCCAACAAATCGACATAACCCACTGGGCAGAGAAATACAATATTTATAGAGCTGTCAGATTCAAACTTCCCGCGCCCGTCTCCTGGGCCGGCTTTCTGCTGATTGGTTGTGACGTCAGCAAACCAGGAGGAGATCCAATGGGGGCCCTGGTCCTGCTTTTGGCGCTCAGCCAATGAGGTGGAAGGGAGGCGGGCAACAGGGAAACAATGAAGAAATGGTTCTTGTGGGTTTTTTCGGGCTATAGGGCCATGTTCTAGAGGCATTTCTCCTGACGTTTCGCCTGCATCTATGGCAAGCATCCTCAGAGGTAGTGAGGTCTGTTGGAATTAGGACAATGGGTCCTAATTAGGATCCCTCTTGTCCCTTGCTGAACACAACATACAAACAATCTACAAACCCACCAAGAAAATCCAACCAATGCTACGTTCAGCAAAGGACAAGAGGGATCCTCTCAGCTCTGCAGGAGTCTACCGTGTACCATGCAGCTGTGGACAAGAAGTCTCCAGAGGGACCACCAAACGCAGCATTGCCCAAGCACGCATCAAGGAACATGAAAGGCACTGCAGATTACTTCAACCAGAGAAGTCAGCCATAGCAGAGCACCTGATGAACCAGCCTGGACACAGCATATTATTTGAGAACACAGAAATGCTGAACCACACCAACAACCAGCATGTCAGACTACACAGAGAAGCCACTGAAATCCACAAGCATGTGGACAATTTCAACAGAAAGGAAGAGACCATGAAAATGAACAAAATCTGGCTACCAGTATTAAAAAACTCTTAAAATTACAACAGCAAAACAGCAGATAGGAAACAACCAGGCACAGCTTAACACCTCTCAACTAAAAATTTTCCCAGGCTCAGGCAGGCCTTCAAATGCTAATGAAAGTGGTCAGTTGAAACATTCCCACCTAGCTCCAGCAGACAAGAGTTCTTTGTCCCACCCTGGTCATTCCACAGATATATAAACCCATTGTCCTAATTCCAACGGACCTCACTACCTCTGAGGATGCTTGCCATAGATGCAGGCGAAACGTCAGGAGAGAATGCCTCTAGAACATGGCCCTATAGCACGAAAAAACCCACAAGAACCTAGTGATTCCAGCCATGAAAGCCTTCGACAATACAATGAAGAAATGCCCAGATGACTGGATTAAGAATGGCTGGTGTTTGCCAAGTGACCAAGCGATAGCTTCAGGCTCTCAAGCCTGGTCTGTGTTATTGTTTTGTCCCTTGAATTAACATTTTTGTCTGGCCCCGAGTGGCCAGGTTCTTTTGTCTTACTATCCTGCGATATGGAGTTCACTAATGATGCAGAGGTTGGTTTCGGAGATCAGGATGTGGCACAGAAGGGAGACAAATCCCTGGTTCCTCGCAGATGGGGAAATGTCCTTTATGTTGGGTGATCCAGTATGTCCACAGATTCTTATTCTGGATGGCCTGGCTATCAGCCCTCCGAGGTCCAGGCAAGTAGAGTCATTTACTTATCGTCCATGCAAATGGATCTGGTTGAGTCCTTTGTTACGGGATTATCGGCTCAGGAAGTTTGGAAACTCCAAGAGCCATGAGTTGCTGGTTCATGAAAAGGTTGCTTTCCTTCGTATTTTCTTATATAGACATACATACACATAGGGAATGAGGAATGGGGCAAGGGAGCATATGCGGAGTTCCTAGGAAAAGGGGGGATCATGCAGGGTCTAAAGGGAAGTCACGTCAGCCCCCCAAAGTCCATAAAAGTTCATAACATTTGACAAGAGTTTATAAAAGTTCCTATAAGAGTTCATGAGGGAGGTGCATGGAAGTTCAGGGGAGCACTGCGTAGTCGGGGTCCATTCATAAAAAAAGGAGTAGAGATGGGGTATTATGGGATCATTCCAGCCTGGTGTCCTTGGCAAAACTATGAATTCCCTGATTTTGAACAATATTTTACAGATGCCTTGGGGGGGAGGGGGTCACCTCCGACCACACCTTTAAGGACTCAATGAAAGATACTTTTCTAAAAATGATTACTATGCCTTTAAGAAGTTAATGTAAGACTGAACCCACTATTCTAAAACAAACAAAACAAGCAAGCAAACAAACAAAAACCCACTTTTACTGTGCCTTCAAGAAGAGATTGCAAAACTGTGCCCTCTATTCTAAAACTATTGCTGTCCCTTTAAAAACAGACTTCAAGACTGGACCACTGTTCTAAAAAACTGTTACTGTGCCTTTAAGAAGTGAATGCAATTACTGTGCCTTTAAGAAGAGACTGCAAGACTGTGCCCTCTATTCTAAAATGATTGCTCTCTCTTTTAAGAACAGACTGCAATACTGGACCTCCTGATCTAAAAAAAAACAAAAAAAAAACACATGTTACTGTGCCTTTAAGAAGAGATTGCTAGACTTCCCCTTATTCTAAAAATGGCTACTGTGCCTTTAAGAAGAGATTGCAGGACTGGACCCCCTGTTCTAAAACAACTGTTACTGTACCTTTAAGAAGTGAATACAAGATTCTTTTCTAAAACAATTACTGTGCCTTTAAGAAGAGATTGCAATTGCTGTGCCTTTAAGAAGAGATTGCAAGACTGTGTCCTCTATTCTAAAATTATTGCTGTCCCTTTAAGAACAGATTGCAAGACTGGACCCCTTGTTCTAAAAAATCGTTACTGTGCCTTTAAGAAGTGAATGCAAGACTGTGTCCTCTATGGGTTGTTGTAGGTTTTTTCGGGCTATATGGCCATGGTCTAGAGGCATTCTCTCCTGATGTTTCGCCTGCATCTATGGCAAGCATCCTCAGAGGTAGTGAGCATCCCATAGATGCAGGCGAAACGTCAGGAGAGAATGCCTCTAGACCATGGCCATATAGCCCGAAAAAACCTACAACAACCCAGTGATTCCGGCCATGAAAGCCTTCGACAATACATTGTGCCCTCTATTATAAAAAACTGTTGCTGTACCTTTAAGAAGTGAATGCAAGACTGGACCCGCTATTCTTAAAAAAAAGTTACTGTGCCTTTAAGAAGTGAATGAATTACTGTGCCTTTAAGAAGAGATTGCAAGACCGTCCCCTCTATTCTAAAAAAAAACCAAAACCAAAAATGATTACTATATCTTTAAGAACAGACTGCTAGACTGGACCCCCTATTCTAAAAAATTGTTACTGTACCTTTAAGAGGTGAATGGAAAATTGTGCCCTCTCTTAAAAAAAAAAAGATTACTATGCCTTTAAGAACTGACTGCAAGACGGGCCTATTCTTTTAAATAAACTGTTACTGTACCTTTAGGAAATGAATGCAAGACTGTGCCCCTTATTTGAAAGAGGGGCTACTGTACCTTTAAGAAGAGACTGCAAGACTGTATCATGTATTCTAAAAATGGTTACTGTACCTTTAAGACAAGGATGCAAGACTAAGTATCTAGTCTAACAAAAAGTGTTACTGTACCTTTAAGAAGAGAAGCTTTCCAGAGATGGATGGATCACAAGTGCCAGGGAAGCACCAGGGGACCAAGATGTAAGAGGAACTGCTCTCTGCACATGCTCAGGAGCACACCCTTCCAATGCTAGCTAAACCAGGGCGTATTTGCTTCAATGCCCATGGGGTTTTCAGGGTTGCCAGACCTTCAAAAGGTGTGACTAAGCGTCCCTTCGATGCCCTAACTGGCCCAACTGCATTCCAAAGCCTTGCCCTGCTGTCTGAGGCCCGGCGGGGTTGGCATGGTTTGGGAAAGAAGAGCACAATTTGGAGCTTTGCAAGGGAGGAAATATTAGACAACATTGTTCAGAGCTTGGAAACATTCCTTTTTGGAGATGACAACACCCAGAATCCCCGAGCCAGCAACGCTGGCTCGGGGATTCTGGGTGTTGTCATCTCCAAAAAGGAATGTTTCTGAAGTCGAACATGACCCTGCCCCCAATAAAAGATAGTAACTTATAGTTTTCCTAAGGACAAAACTAAGGACTAGGACATGGAACAATGGCTTCAAACTACAAGAGAGGAGATTCCATCTGAACATGAGGAAGAACTTCCTGACTGTGAGAACCGTTCAGCAGTGGAACTCTCTGCCCCGGAGTGTGGTGGAGGCTCCTTCTTTGGAAACTTTTAAACAGAGGCTGGATGGCCATCTGTCAGGGGTGATTTGAATACAATATTCCTGCTTCTTGGCAGAATGGGGTTGGACTGGATGGCCCATGAGGTCTCTTCCAACTCTAGGATTCTATGATTCTAT